TAGAATAGAATAGAATAGAATAGAATAGAATAGAATAGAATAGAATAGAATAGAATAGAATAGAATAGAATTATTTATTGGCCAAATGTGATTGGACACATAAGGAATTTGTCTTGGTGTCTCAGTGTACATAAAAGAAAAGATACATTCATCAAGGGTCAAGAATCATAAGGTACAACACTTAACAATAGTCATAAGGTACAATAAGCAGGATATAATTTGGACCACTAATTGCATTTTTCATCTTACGATCATCAGTATTTCTGGCAAGGTCACCAGAAATATGATTGGTTTTTAATTCTAGTTCCGATGAAAATAAAAATTGCTGCCTTCCAATTAACTTGAGTCAGCAATGGGCATGGAATCACCATGTCCTTGTAACCTCTACTCTCCAACAACTGTTTACATATAAAATGTTATTTCAGGACCATACTTCATACATTTGTCTAGTAATAGTAATAGTAGTAGTGATAGCACTAACATGCTACATATTACATTTAACATGTTTATATTCTATCCTTTTTCCAGTCAAGGGTTTGCCTATTTTATTCTCCTATACATCGATGTATCCAAGACTACTAATGGATTTTCATGATTAAGTGAATATCTGAGTCTAAATTTTATTTGTGTCCAAAGTGCTCCCTCAGTTAGCTATTCCAGGCTTGCAAATAATCAAGAAAATGTTGATTAAAATTTTGCTCCAATCCAGCCCCACCTCTGTATTCATCACTCATCTGCCACAGTTTTGCCCCTTGCCTACTGCTGGAAGAACATAAGAAAATATAATAATTGGGCTGTTTAGATCCCCCTTTATGTGTCATTAACAAAATAGTTGGAAGGAAAGATATAGGCGACCATCCAGAGAGATTTAAAAGAGGGAAAAAGCGGCTTTTTACTTAGATACAACATACCAGTGGTAGATGTTTTTTCCCTCCCCAGAAAACAGTGCCATGTGAAGATTGATTGACTCATCATGAGCCATCAAGTTGGAGTAGATTCTTAATGAACATAATTTGTCCTCAGTCTGGTCTTTCAGGTCTTCCATTAATGCAGTCATTGTCACTGGCTGTCCTCTTCTCTTTCCTTCCATCTTCCCGTTTTCCCAAGTTATAGATTTCTAGAACAAGGTCAGTGGATAACAGATTATTTATTAGAATAAGAAGTTATAATAAAATAGGGCAGGTTGGTTTTTCCTTCACTACAAATGGGCAATGAACTGTTTGCTTTGTACCAGTTTTGAGAGTATATTTTAAAAATATGCATTCCTTATAGGATTATCAGGAATAGCACTAACCGGATTACCAATTCCAGTTATAAATAATTTTTATTCTGCATTTTGCTGCTCTTTAATATATGTTATATTTGGAACTTCACAACATATATCTATTGGTAAGTACTATGCTATTTGTTCATTAAAGGTGTATGGGATTATTTGTCATTAGAAATGATATACTGACTCATTAAAAAACTTGTTTTTGTTAATTTATACTTTCAAACATATTGACTTTTATTTCAAATTTATTGCTAAGTCTTCTGTTAATACCATGTTTTTATTATCTGTCATCAAATAATTCACAAAGCTAAAGAAAACTGTGTAAATATTTTAAAAAGTGACTATATCAAGTTTGATTTATCTGTTCAATCAATTAGTTTTATGAGAAAATCATGATTCTTGTAAGTTCTCCCTGATTCTTCTCTCAGCAATATTTTACACTTGTTTCAGTTTAAATAGATGAGTTTATTTGTAAAAATTTGGAAGTTAAATAAATGATATCTCTCTTTGTAATTTCTCTTCATAATCATTCTGTGTGAGGAGAATAAATTGTACAGGCTCTTCTCTGAAATCCAGACATAATTGCTTGTAAAAGTGGTTCTCTTACCATTTTCATGCTCGAAAAACACCTGTATTTCAGGCTTGACAGAAGAGTGCAACAGCAAATCACAGCTCTTCAAATATTTAACTCTTTACTCATCACTTGATTTGGCAAAAGATTCTCAGATATAACTTGGCTAGATGAGCATCTGTTTTCCAAAACAAAAATGAAGCTTTAAACACAACAGTTGATTGACTATTGCAGTACAATGAAGTCAGAACCTTTGTATATAATTTTGCTGTAAATTCTAGGTTTTTCCCTATGTTCTTTCTAAGGTAATTAATACTTGATTTATTGGACTTGGGTAACTGAGAAATGTTTATATAATGATTCTCTAGCCTTGGAGATGACTGGCTCTTGCTTTGCCAACTTTAACCCTTATACTTTGGAAGAGAAAAGAAAGCTATGTACACACTTCTACTCTCATTTCCACTCTGCTATGCCTTAGTTAATAGACCTGTCAGTCTTTCTGGCAGCGGTTGGAAAACCAAAAGTGATTGTTCATCAGCACATTTGTGATATAGAGTTTTTTAAACAAGGTTTATTGAGATGAATGGGATGAGGTTACAATATTTCTTGTAAATGAACTATTTTCAGTTTAGAACCAATTCAGCTCCTCTACATTCCACAAGATGGGATATCAAATAATGAATGTCAGTTATAGAAGGCTTCCTTATGCCCTTTCCTATTCTGGGATTCTATAATTCCAAATTTCTTGAGCTCTTGACAGCTAAATAGTGCTATTTTATTAGATTCATTTTTGCAAACAAATAATAACTCAGGGTGGTAAGTGGCGCCAAAAGTACTCTCAAAAACATTATAAAAATTGTGAAAATGAAAGCAGTTTAAACAACAATTGTTTTAACACTTTATCGAAAGCAGGACAGGATTGAGAAGATATCACAATCTCATACACCTTATTGCCCAAAGTGTTTCCAGTGATGTCTGCAGGGAGAGATGTCAAATCAGTCAGTCTGATGAAACCAATGTGATGTCATCATGACACAAGTACCTCTCATTTATAGGTGCATTGTGACATGTACATTGAAAAATTGCACAACTTGTGGCATTAGAGCATGATGTCACTTTGTTATTTTGACGAAAGCCAGCAGAACTATAGGTGCTCGGGATTGTCTCTTGAGCCTAGATAGTAAAAAGCGAAGTACCTAATTGAGTGTCGTTCATTTCTAAACCCCATAAATCTCTTGATTGAAATCGAAGTTATATGATACCAATTTAGAGGAACTGTTTAGCACCAATGGTTGACTAATGGTGAACTTCAGTTGGGCTTGGGTACACTTAGGTTAGGATCAGGCTCTAGCCAGCTGACAATGGTTAACACAGAGTCCCTGTAAATCCAGTGAATCTTTCTGGTGGTGATTTATGGACAATGAACATCACTGTTGTTGAGTGCCCAGTGATGTAACTTCGGACATCAGAATACTAGAAGAAATAATATACAGAGAAATAATTTATCTGTTGGTTTATTGATTTGTTTATATCCTGCCTTTATTATTTTTTATAAATAATTTAAGGCAGTGAACATAACCAATAGTACTTCCTCCTTCTATTTTGCCCCAACAACCCTGTGAGATGAGTTGAACTGAGAGAAAGTGACTGCTCCAAAGTTACCCAGCCAGCTTTCATGCATAAGGCGGCCCTAGAAATCATAGTCTTTTAGTTTCTTCCCTGGTACCTTAACCACCAGACCAAACTGGTATTCTGAAAGCATTTTATACTTTTAAGCTCTTTAGAGAAATGGTGAGAATTACCTTGTGACAATTAATGTGGTAGCTGAATTTATATTAGCTTTGGCTTTTATCTTGAATTTCTGCTTTTTGGCAACAGGTTCTTTCAGCATTCTAAATGCAATGGCAGCAAATTTTCAGAGTAATCTTAATTTCAGAATACAGTTACCAGTTAATGCCACTTTGGCCAATGTTTCTGATGAAAATTTTATGCGGAATTATATGGAAGCAGTAACTCACACTGCATCTACTACATTTTTAGTTGGGATTATTCAGGTAGGAAACACACTTGAATTATCATTTCTTTTTTTGCCATAGCTTTATTTATTCGAAGTGCTTTAATGCCACTTCAGTTAAGTTAATATTACTGTGTGTATGTATGTGTGTCAATAATAGCAATAAAGCAATAATGAACAGCACCCCCAAACAGTCTAGGTATATACTCCATTGATTCCTTAATCCTCAAATATCTACATAAACGCTTACATCTTGAAGAGTTTTCTGAATAACGGTGACAAGGACACTAATCTTATTTTTGAGAGTAACTGATTCTGTAGCGGGTGAGAGCTCTGCCAAAGAATGCTGACTTTTAAGCTCCCTCCATCTCAGCTCATAGAGAGTGGGAACTCTTGGTATTTTCAAAGACAGAATAAAAATTCAGTATCATGTAATAAGACACACATATTTAAAAATAAAAGTTGAATGAAAGTTAAATCTTAGCTGAGTAGAGTTTCCTTCTGAGTGTGTGGTGTGATGAGTGTAATAAAATAATCCACAACTGACTTGTTAAAATCTAAATATTTTTAGACTCCATTATTCTTTTTCTGATGCATGAAAATTCTATACTTTTATAATTCTGCACCAATACTTTTCAGCTATATTTTTATTTTTGGTTCTGATGTACTGAAAAAAATAAGCAAATTATTTGGCTTTATACAATTTTTCTACTGCTTTTAAAATATATATTTTTTATTCTTTGTCACTGTATTTTATAGTAGGGTTAAGAACAACATGAAAGGAAAATTAGATCTTAAGGAATGTAAGGAGGAGAGAACAAACTTAGAAATTACTGTCTGATAACCAGAAACATTTCACCTTACATAATAGCTGAAATTCAGAAGATTCTTAAAATCATCTGATATTTTGCATGAAGACATTCAAAAGTTCATCAGAATTATGCAAGGTTTCAATTATTTCACATGAAAACTCATAAATTTCACCCCAAGATAATTATTGTCTGGTGTAATTTCACCAATTTTATTTCTGTTTTTTTGATATTGAGGGCCAGGAAGAGGTACTGGCCCCTGACTTCAGCTTATCTCAGAACATTGACTAATTTGGAGGCATGAAGCAGATGACTTAGACTTAGACTCACTTTATTGTCACTTTGAATGTACATGTAAATATACTAATTGGCATACATTAAAGTGAAATTTCATTGTATGCAGCTCTCAAAGGGTTACCACCTCCAGTATACACTACATAAACATGACAAAATAAGTAAGTAATAAATAAGTGCAAAATTATGCATATACTTAAACATAAATTATATGACATACAAAAACAACACATGTACATGGTGAGAAAAACAAATCTTGCGAGTTTACCAGACGGATGGCTGAGGGAACAAAGCTGATACAGAATCTGGTAGTTCTGCTAGAAATACCTTCAAGGACAGAAGTATTCGACAATAACTCTGTCCTTGCAAAATATTCACTTGGGTTTTAGAAAAATAGTATAGCTTCTTTACACTTCAGATGTATAATAGCAAACTGCGCAGAAATAGGGCAGCTATTGTGGCAAATTGAGGTTTATGTTTTCTTTAAAACCCATTTTCTTCTATTTTAACCATCTCTTTTGTTCCTTTCAGCTACTTTTGGCCCTCATTGGCTTGGGATTTGTCACAACATATGTTTCAGAGAGTCTCATGAATGCTTACCTTACAGCAGCAGCATTACATGTGATTATATCACAGTTCTCTTTCATCTTTGGAATTGTAATTGATTTTCATTCAGGCCCATTGTCATTTTTTTATGTGAGTAAAGCCACTATTTTTAACTTTCCTGTTTCTCGACAAGAATGGGAAGAAGTAGACATCAGTATTGATATATTTCCCCTGAAGAGTGAAACATACTAATTAAAAGTTTATCAAATCCCTTCATTTGTAAAGATATAATAACAAGTGGTCACAATACACACAAGGAATCGTAATTCTCACCAGGGACTTAACTTCCCCGTTTTTAGGCATTATTAGTTTCTTTATGACATGCCATTGTCTTTCTTAAAACAGTGGAGACAAATCAACCCCCTTTAAACATGGTAGGATTTAACTTCTAAATAATATCAAAGAAATATAGCATAAGGGTCTTCATTACCAAGATCAGGTTATTTGAGGGACCATCTCTTCCGAGTGGCATTTACTTGCCTATCAGGCTCAGCAGAAAAAACTAATTGTGGGTTGTATGTATCCAAGGGGTAGTGTCATCTGGTAGGACACAGGATGAGGGCCTTTTCTGCTGCCCTAGGGAAAATAATTCTTGAACCTTCTAGAAGGACTTGAAGACCTAGTTTTGCTGGCCAGAGATTAAAGAGTGGTGTGGAACCCATGGAATGGTTTTTAGTTCTTAATTGTTTTTAATACATTTGTCTTGTTTGTATTATTATTGTTGTTGTTGTTTTTGGTACTGTTTATGATTTAGTTATAAGCCTCCCAGAGTCATGTGTGTGCAGCTATATTTATTTCTGAAGCAAAAAACTATGTCATTTAAAAGATGTTGAGGCTTACCTTGATACTTTTACCAGCAAATTAACATGCAGGAATTAGTTCTAACATTTTGTTGACATTTTCTTTCTTTCAGAATTTGGTATACTACTGCATGGGTCTCCCTAAAGCAAATTCCACCAGTATCTTGCTGTTTTTGCTTTCGTTACTATTGCTGAGGGTCAGCAAATGCATTAAAATAACTTATAAACACTATCCTGTTGAGTTTCCAATGGAGCTTTTTTTGGTAAATATTTGACATTTTTCTACAAAATTACATTTATGTTTCCAAAGTCACAGTTTTGTAAATGACTTGAAGTCATAGATTGATCCATGAAACAGTTTCCTTCAAACATTGTGTTTCTTTAGTACAGAACTGAATGTTAATAATTTTGCTACTCTTTTATTTTGACTATATTATATTGGCCTTAAGTTCTCCACAAAAAAGAATAAGGAAACACTGCATCTGAAAGAAGCATTATCCCTTATTATAATTTATTTCAGGTCTTCTGATAAAACAGGAATTTGTTTTATTGTATACTTCAAATTCAGGGGACAGCACACCATCCCTTCTTGCCTTCACTGTATAGACAATAAGAACATTTTGTCTATGATTCTGATAAAACCCAATTTTATCTAATAGTGTTATGGTCTATTATTGTCCTTAGAAATGCATTCTTCAGAAACAGAGATCTAAACATTAAACATTCTGCCTTAAGTTTCAGTATCAGTGAAACTTGTTGTGGTGGGAAATGCTTTTCTGATCATGAAACTTTCCCCCCCCTCCTAATACTAATCTTTGCACTGATGATTGTATCCTACTGTTTGTCATAACTAATCAAAAGTCTGCCTTGTTTGGCATTATACCACTGAATATTATTAGAATCTATTTCAATGTCTGGCTAAAACATAACCCTTAGTTCATAATGCCAAGGTAGATATTGACATTGTAATTGCCATTAATCAAGGCTAAATTTGAGAGTATACTAATATAATTTTGAAATAAATTTAAATACATAATATTCATCTCAAATAATATAGAGTGCATTTTTTTACAGATTATTGTATTTACAATGCTTTCTACCCAAACTCGTCTACATGCTGAATCTAGTCAGGGAGTTTTTACAATGACTCCCCACAAGTAAGTAATCTAATCTAATATTATGTATTTTTCATGCATGTATAAATATGTACTTATCATGCTATTCCCTTTCAGGGTAACATATGTGGTGCGGGGGGGGGGGGGGGAAGGAAGGACAAATAAAAAATTGAAATAATGAAATAAGAAAAATGAAAAGAAAGTAACTAATGTTGAAATTAAAGAATTGGGTAAAGAACTTGGTAATAATACCCCAGCTTGAAATTCCTGTGAAACATTTGCCAATGCGTGAACCTGAAAGCTTATTCTCATAAATATTTCAACATTGCTAACTTTGTCATTCAAATATATTTGAATGCCGTTGCTATTTGTGGCTAAGTGCATACCAACAGCCAGGGATGGGATCTGACTGGTATCGGTTCTGTCGCTCTGCGTCGCGCACGCATGCGCACTTTGTGCACGTGCGAGTTGCACAAGTTGCACGAGTGCAATTTACAGCCTGCTGAGCTGCCCGGACAGCTGAGCAATGCTGCGTGCAAGTGCACAGCGGTTGGAAAAGCCCTTTTTTCCTGCTTTTTCAACCACAGCTGTGTCGCACAAAGCAGCTGCGGTTGAAAAAGCAGGAAATAAAAGTCAGATAAGAGCCCAGGTGGACGGGTGGGCCAAAACAGCAGCAGACATAGAACCGGTTCTATGTATTATTTCTGTCTGCTGCTCTTCAGAACTACCGATTCTACAGAGGTGGACAGAACCGGTAGAATCCCACCCCTGCCAACAGCATTTAGTCAAGCCAACAGTGAACAAATATTCTATATACTGTAATTTCCCTTTGAGAGGTACCTGATGGGGGCAGGTTTTAGCATTTACTGAACAGTGTAAAGATTCTTTGTTCTAACCATCAGGATCATGTGTGGCCCATCAGTATTCATATAATTACTGCCCATTTCTTAAAATGAGCTAAAAATAATAATGTATAATTTTATTTTACTCATAAGATTTATTTGCCGTTTATATCACAGTTCAGGCAACTCTAAATTGACTCTTTAGTACTGTGCAGAATATCAACATTCCTTTTTATTATTATTTCATATGTAAAATACAAAGAAGAGTAGAAATAAGAAATTAGGGGAAGGAATGTCAAAATTGATCTTTGAATGTTGCTTTAGAGCAGAGGTCTCCAAACTTGGCCACTTTAAGACTTGTGGACTTCAACCCCCAGAATTATCCAGCCAGCTATGCTATGCTATGCTGGCTGGAGAATCCTGGGAGTTGAAGTCCACTAGTCTTAAAATGGCCAAGTTTGGAGACCTCTGCTTTAGAGGACATGGGGATGTCTGTGTAACTCCTTAAAATGCCTCTCTCCTTTCCAGGATTACATGGCAGCTGTGAAGGCCAGTTGTGTGACCTCTGGAAAAGAGTCAACTGCTTTATTGAGTATAGAGTGTTGCTGTGGTCACTATCCAAAGCACACTTTGGAGATCAAATTTAAAGCGTTGCCCAAGTGTTCTATGTTCTGCTGGGGGAAAAATATTGTCCATTGCTCATTTTAAACTTTTAATAAAGGTGATTTGTTTTCATTTTCAGAAAAGGTTTCTAAGATAGCTAACAATAAGTACATAAAATTCAGTCTTTGAAATCCAAACAAGCCCATATTTATTATTAACACCACTTGCTTGGTTCACAACATTGTGGGTTGAAAGAGATGGTAGTAAATCTGTAAATAAACAGAGCTATAGGTTATACATCCTAATCAAAGTATTCAAGGGTGTTCTTTACACAGGACTGAAGCATCTCTTTTGTTTCAGGTTTTTGAATCCTACATTACCTGATTTCTCAAAACTGGACAAAATTATATTACATGCTTCATCTCTGGCAATAGTAAGCTATTTCCTCCTCATTTTTGTGGGAAAGAAGTATGCAAGTATTCACAACTATCACATCAGACATACTCAGGTAATAGTTATATATCACAAAGCAGAAGCCTCAAGAAATTGATGGAGCTTTGGGAGAATAAATAAACTATAATTAAATATACTTTTCCATAGATTTCCGGCGTCTGTGGAAGGCATGCAACGCTGTAGTCACTATTTGTCTCCAAGAACATTAGAAATACATTGGGACATATTGAGATAAATATGAAAAACAAAGCAACTCTTCATTAATTTAACTGATCAGTCAAAAGCCTTTGCATAGCTTCCTCTGGTGCACCAATTGCACACTTTTCTGGATTAGGATAAATTCCAGGCAATCATTCATGCCCTACTCACCTCATAACTTGTCTTATTGCAATGTGCTTTATGTGGAGCAATACTCAGAAGCTTCAGTTGGTCTAAAATACAGCAGCATGGCCAGTGACTGGCCTGCACTATAGCTATGTTTCTGGTTGCAATTCAAGGTTCAGGCTTTGGCCTATAAAGCAGTATGTGGCATAGGATTTATAATTTGAAGGACTGTCTATCATCTCCTGTGATGTCTGTCCAGCCAATACAAACTCACAGGGTTGGCACACTTTGGGACCCTTCAGGTAACAATGTCATCTTTTGGGACCCAGGAAGTATGCCTCCTGTGTTGTGAGGTCTGCCCCCAGAATGAAGCTCCCCCTGATATCCAGGTGGCTCTCACACTATTAGTTTCTCATAGCGCTTTGAAGACCTGACTCTTCCCACATCAGGGCCAGATTTGCCATCTTGTGCTTTATCTGCTTTCCTATCTATTTTTTGTTGGTTTGCTTTTGAATTGTATTGCATGTTGATCTATTTACTATATTACAAGCCACCTAGAGTTGTTTGGAGTCAGGCAGTCCTAAATTAAATAAATTAAATTAGGTCCCTGTGGGTGCTCATGATTATAAGTGTGACAGCAACAGCAATGCAATTAAACTATTCTGAAAACTTTAAGTCTACCACAAAACAGAAAAAATCATATCAAAGTTACAAGTTGAAAAAGAAACAACAAAATGTAGTTGACCATTAAAACTATGGCTTTATCTATTAGAACAAAGATATTTATAGAAAACTAGTTCTTGGTCATACTGGCTGGGGGATTCTGGGAGTTGAAATCCACACATCTTAAATTTACCAAGATTGAGAATCACTGGATTGTACTGTACACATTTTGAACATGATGAGGCAGAGGTCCCTCCAGGGGCACCCACAGTGGTGTGTCAACAGCATCGCAATTGCAAACAGAACTTGGCAAGCAAAGGCCACCTCCTTCTGAACATGTACTGCATATATTACATGCATGTAAAAAGGTTGCTGAAGTCATGCCCACCATTGTGATGCTGTTGATTCTCCCTATGGTGGTATCCTCTGAGTGCTCTAGGCATATGCAAACCTAAGCATATTCAAGAAAGCAGTAGGAGCCATTAAAAAAAAGAATTGTTGATGTAAGCGATACATTAACTGTAATGACTGAATGTCTCCCTAAAACAGCAATATATTTTTGGTTATAAATGATTAGGACATATTAATATTCTGAAGTTTGTCATCCTTATTTTTTGTAGCGGAAAATATTTGTAGTCCCTATATTTCACAGTACAGTAATCTGAATACCAGTAGGTTTATCTTTATTTATCATGTGCAGGATTTAGTAGCAATTGGGCTATGCAATGTCTTCAGTTCATTTTTTAAGAGTTTTTCTGTCAGCTGTGCAATTTCTACAACTGTTATTCAGGAGAAGACTGGTGGAAAAACGCAGGTGAGTTAGTTCCAGTGCTTGTTTCAAATTTAGATTTGGGTGTATTTGTTAGAACATGGCTTTCTCTGCTGTTTGGACCATGCGAAAGGGATGCTTTACAGAGTTTATTAGCATGAGCAAATGGTTAAATAACTACAGCATTTTTAAAAATTGTATTGTCACTTCAAAGGCAGCCCTTGGTGTATTATTATCAGTCTCAGTGGAGATTTGTCTGCATCAGAAGTCATGGGCAGAAATCTTTTTAACCCCATTCGGATTTTTTGGTTACATATATATGCTTGCAAATTGACCCTCATAAATTTTGATTAGCATTATTATAAAATATAATTATATTTAAACCAGAAGAACAGGTGAACTCTCCTTCATATCAAGCTCAGTTTGTGGGGACTTCATTGACATGAGTTTTTTTGTTTTTTGGCAACTGTCAGAAATGTTTTACAGTTGCCATCTTTCAGGATATATTTTTGACTTCTCAGTGTAGCTTGTTAGAGTTAGTCTCTCATCCAAGAAATTAACAGGTTTGGTAACATTTGTGTCCTTGAAATTAAGAAATGTTTACCAAGTACACTATTGCCATCTAGATAAATGTTAACAATATAACAAGAATTACATGTTACAGTTTAAAAAATAAATGAATAGATTAAGAAATAGATAGTTAGCATAGAGCAATGGTTCTCAACCTGTGGTCTGCAGACCCTTGGGGGACCATGATGTCATCACAGAAAGTCTGCAAAGGCTTGAAGAAATGTTATGATTTAAATCTTGAGTTAAGTCTTGGGTGTCTGTGGCCATGGTCATGCATTATCAAGAATTTGCTATTAAGTAGGGTAGTATGTAAGAGGCGAGGCAACCGGTCCAATATTGAACCAAGAAATACAATATCTAGGTTGTAAACTCTGGAAAATCACTAGACTGTAGTAAAAAGCCATAGAAAATGCCAACCAAAGGTAACACCATCAAGCTGCTGAACTGGTGTGGCAAGAATTGTGCACTCCAGGTTCCAGGTTCCACAATAGCATCTATTAGAAAACATGCGTTCTTTATAGCAGCACCTGCCTTCTGAAATGATGTCGTCCCCCCCCCCCCCCCCCCGATTCAAATGGCCGTTTGGTTAACCGCACCAGACTTGATTGCAGGAAATACGACTTCAGCAACAGAGTGGTCAATGTCTGGAATACTCTACCTGACTCTGTAGTTTCTTCCCCAAACCCCAAAAAGTTTAACCTTAGACTGTCTACCATTGACCTCACCCCTTTCCTAAGAGGTCTGTAGGGGGCATAAGCGCACCAACGTGCCTACCGTCCCTGTCCTATTGTTTCTTTTATTTTTCTTATATGTACCCATTTCATGTATTCATAACTATGTATATACTTATACCTATTATCTTGTAAGCAATTGACAAATCAAAATAAATATTCTATTCAATTGAGTGATATTGATTTTGTCAATGCCGATGGTATACAAGTGGTGCTCCAAATGTTTTGGAATTGCACTCAAGGCACCCCCATCTTTGCTTTCTTTTGACAAATTATTCTAATGCTTTCACCAGGTCATTATTATGTTTGGTTACCCAATAACCCAGATGTTTAGACTGGATTTAACATTTTTATCCACCTGTCGAGTCCTTCCTAAAGATCATATCGTTGCCATGTTATCTGCCATCTAGTTGTCTCCTGGATTTTGCAGTCTGGATATGGTTTCCTGGTTCAATCAAATTCTCAAAATTTAAGCTACCATCACTTCTACAATGGTAAATGAATTTGTGTGACACTCTTCTCCAGTGAATAAGCCTAAAAATAAACATTCCATGTATGTAATAACAATTAAGTTTTGATCTAACTACAACTGCCTTGTGTAGGCTTGGGCAGTGCCTGTACAGACTAATCATGAGTACTGTGAAAACGTTCTTTGGGCAAAACTGGGAGCAAAGCTTGGAATGTGTTTTGCCTGAATATGCCTCATCAGATTTTTAAAAATCTCACCCCACCCCCACCAAACTGGTTGTAGGATGTCCTACCTCCAAGTTTGAGAATCCCTGGCATAGTGAAAAAGCTTGAGTCCAAGTCAAGATAATCTTACTTCAAAACAATAAACTTTATTGAAGGCAAGTCATGAATAGATTTAGGAATCTAAGGTCAAATTAAGGAATTGGCAGGCACATTAGCAATAGTAGACCTTTTCATCAAATCAATAGAATCTGTTTTGATGTGATGGTAGTTGAAATTTCATCATATTAATTAACATGGTACACATCATTTTGTATATGTTCTGAAAATAGACTGAGTTAGGTGGAGTATTTTGATTTACAAAATATGAGAAAGAATAATCCGCATCAGGTTAACATTCTAATGCCATTTTTTTAAAAAATTAGCTTGCAGCTCTGATTGGAATTTCCTTAATGCTGGTGACAGGATTAAAATTGGGATATTACTTGCAGTCCCTTCCAAATGTAAGTTAAAGTGAAAATCTGAATAATTTAGATATATAAATTTTGTGCCGTAATGGAATATTGCTCTCTTTAAAAACCCAGGTCATCAGAATATTGATACATTATATATCCCTGGGGGATTATTTTAATGAGCTGCCAATTCTCAATATGTCAGATCTACCAGGTAGATCAGACCAGGAAATATCCTAACTTTTAACTTCCCTAACTCCACAGAAAAAATAAAATGACCTTTATTGAATGTAGCTATAATAACAAAATCTTGTTTGTATGGTTGTATTGTATTTCTTCCTCCTTTTCATATGCCTGACCTATTTCAAAATATATCATTGCTTTGGGTTTTAAAATGATTCATCCCTTTTAAAACTATTATAACTACCAATGGGCCTTCTTGCTACTCTCCCCTTGGCAGTCTTGGAGAACAGATTTGGTAATACTCCTATTATCTGTGGAAATTATGCCTATTTGGCTCAAACCACTCTGAATCCAGGGAACTTGGTTTTCTAAGTTCTTTTGTTGTTGTGTTACAATTTTATTCCAAAGATGAGAGGAAGGTTACTTTGGCTGATGCTAAAAAATATCCATAGTCAAACAAAGACATTTTATATTAGCTACTTTACAGCAGTCTGAGACTGCAATGTTACCTACGTAGTTGCCAAATTTTGCTCCCTAAAAGCAAGGATACCCTATCAGAAAGTCACTATTATGGACAGAATAATTGTTTTGGAGATACTGATAGTTATTTGGCTGTATTCTAAGAGTGTAAATGTTTATCTATCTGAAACTTTCACTGAGTTTGGTCTATGACCTTTATAAAGTTTTATTTATTGGTGAAATGCCTACACCTATTTACTAAATCTTAAAGTAGGATTTAATAGTTGGTTAATTACGTGGATTTATTGTGCACTTTTCTTTTTATCCAAAGAACTCCCTTTTTATTATAGAAAACGTTATTTATTTGACAAGGCATTTAGAAAACATGCATATTAGTAAAATTTTCATCTGTCAATTAAAAAAAGCCACTCTACTTGAATCTGCACATATACTCAGATCATTCTTAGAATAACAGAGTTGGAAGGGACCTTGGAGGTCTTCTAAACCAGTCCCCTGTTCAAGCAGGAGACCTTATACCATTCCAGACAAATGGTTGTTCAGTCCCTTCTTAAAAACCTCCAGTATTGAAGCACCCACAACTTCTAAAGGCAAACTGTTCCACTGCTTGATTGCTGTTACTGTCAGGAAATTTCTCCTTAGGTTCTAGGTTGCTTCTCTCTTTGTTCAGTTTCCATCCAGATGTTTTGGAGAATAGGTTGACTCCCTCTTCCTTGGGACAGCCCCTCAAATATTGAAACACTGCTATCATGTCACCCTAGTTCTTCCTAGACTAGACATACCCAATTCCTGCAACTGTTCTTCATATGTTTTAGTACACCAGTACATTTTGACATTTTATTTTTTTGAGAAGAACTCAATGCCTAGGAAGGCCAATACCAGCTAAAGAACAGGCAGCTGTAATTTCACATTTCTGTGTATATAGGTGGTTCTCAACTTATGACCAGTTGCTTAACAACCATTTGAAATTATGACAGGACTGGAATGGGTGCTTTATGGTCTATCAAGCACTTCTGACAGTTGTAAAATGTTGTATCACCCAACCCACAGTTACACGACCACATTTCAGTCACTTGGTAACTGGCTTATGACCAATCGCAGTATCCTATAGTCACGTTGCCATGATTTGCAGTTTTTTTTTACTAATTCCCACCTTTTTTCACTAGTTTCTGGAAAAAATTACCCATTGAATGGGTTTGGTTTTACAACCATAACATCTGCTTAGTGACCATCACAAAAAAGGCATAAAATTGAATCCAGTCACCTGAGTTCCTCAGTTCATGATCATAATGACTTATTATTTGAAATCCAGTCCCAACTGTAGATATGTCACTTGCCTATATAACAAAAAGAAGAAGAAAAAAGAAAGAAAGAAAAATCACAAAATAGAAAGCTCTGAAAATACAAATAGAACATCTATGGCAAAAGAAAGCAAATATAGTGCAATCCCAAAACATCTGAAGCACCACTTAAACACTATCAGTGTTGACAAAATCCCTATCAATCAAAAGGCAATGGAACAGCTTACATCCTACAATAACGTTAATATTATTAAACAACAGTATCTGCCTCTCCCTGCTTCTTGGGAAGGACTCAGTAAGTTGATAAAAAGGTCAAATCCAGTCTAAAAATCTGACTGACTATTCAATGCACTATAAAAATAATATATTTTCATAGTTCAGTGCACACAGCCAGATGTTCAGACTGGATTTGGCATTTTTATCTACCTAGCAAGTCTTCCTAAGGATCTTGGATAGGCGGATGTTGGTGTTTGATGGTGTTATATAGGTGAAACTCGGAAAAATTAGAATATCATGCAAAAGTTCATTTATTTCAGTAATGCAACTTAAAAGGTGAACCTAATATTTGAGATGGATTCATTACATGCAAAGCAAGATAGTTCAAGCCGTGATGTGTCATAATTGAGATGATTATGGTTTACAGCCCATGAAAACCCCAAATCCACAATCTCAGAAGGTTAGAATATTGTGAAAAGGTTCGATATTCTAGGCTCAAAGTGTCCCACTCTAATCAGCTAATTAAGCCATAACACCTGCAAAGGATTCCTGGGCCTTTAAATGGTCTCTCAATCTGATTCAGTAGGAATCACAATCATGGGAAAGACTGCTGACCTGACAGTTGTGCAGAAAACCATCATTGATAAAGCCTCAAAAGATAATTGCAAAAGAAGTTGGATGTTCCCAAAGTGCTGTATCAAAGCACATTAATAGAAAGCTATGTGGAAGGGGAGAGTGTGGAAGAAAAAGGTGCACAAGCAGCAGGGATGACTACAGCCTGGAGTGGATTATTAGGAAAAGGTCATTCAAAAGTGTTGGGGACTTTCACAAGGAGTGGATTGAGGCTGGAGTCAATGCATCAAGAGCCATCACACACAGACAGATCCTGGACATGGGCTTCAAATGTCCTATTCCTCTTGTCAAGCCGCTCCTGAACAACAAACAATGTCAGAAGCGTCTTACTTGGGCTAAAGAAAAACAGAACTGGTCTGTGCTCAGTGGTCCAAAGTCCTCTTCTCTGATGAGAGCAACTTTTGCATCTCATTTGTAAACCAAGGACCCAGAGTCTGGAGGAAGAATGGAGAAGCACACACTGCAAGATGCTTGAAGTCCAGTGTGAAGTTTCTACAGTCTGTGTTGATTTGGGGAGCCATGTCATCTGTTGGTGTTGGTCCACTGTGCTTCATTAAGTCCAGGGTCAATGCAGACGTCTACCAGGAGATTTTGGAGCAATTCATGCTTCCTTCTGCAGACAAGCTTTATGAGGATGCTGACTTCATTTTCCAGCAGGACTTGGCACCTGCCCAAACTTCCAAAAGCACCAAATGCTGGTTCATTGACCGTGGGATTACTGTGCTTGATTGGCCAGCACACTTGCCTGACCTGAACCCCATAGAGAATCTATGGGGCATTGCCAAGCGAAAGATGAGAGACATGAGACCAAACAATGCAGAAGAGTTGAAGGCCACTATTGAAGCATCCTGGTCTTCCATAACACCTCAGCAGTGCCACAGGCTGATAGCTTCCATTCCACGCCGCATTGAGGCAGTAATTGCTGCAAAAGGGGCCCAAACCAAGTACTGAGTACATATGCATGCTTATACTTTTCAGAGGTCCGATGTTGTTCTATGTACAATCCTTGTTTTATTGAGTTTCACCTGTAGGTATCGTCGCAGGATGTAAGCCGTTACAAGTAAAACTGCCTTTTGCAATTATTACCAATGATGACTGGCATCTTTGAAATGATACCTAAAGGACTTCCTCAATATCTGAAAATATTGAATGTATCAAACCTATACACCCTAATTTTACAAAAAATAATCTGGTTTGGAGTGGCTTATATTCTTAGATGCTACGTGAATAAGTCTTAGGTTTTTGCTTAAGGCTTGAATTATTAAGTTTCCACAAGTCTTAGATTGTGAATTGTAAATTACTGAATAATAATAATAATAATAATAATAATAATGATAAATAATAATAATAATAATAATAATAATAATAATAATAATAATAATAATAATAATAATATAATCCGCCAATACATCACGCAGTCCTGAACACTTGGGAAGTGTTTGACTAGTGATTTGTGATACGAAACCCAGCATGGTTATCTCAGCTACTGTGTATACTGTCATTTTTGTGTACAGCAACAACAACAACAGCAACAGCAACAACAACAATATTATTACTACTACTACTACTACTACTACTACTACTACTACTAATAATAATAATAGATGAAAGACCTTTTCAAGAACTTGGTACCTGGAGGTCACCTAATTATGGAAAATTAGAATATGTAAATATATTGATAAGATCTAAATCTTTGCAAAAGTATACAGCACCATGATTAGGCTAGCTAATCAAACTGTTAACATCTATGGAAATATTTTTAATTGCTACTACATGGTTTAGAATTTTGTATATATTTTGTATAATATCTAGAATTGGCAACAGTATCTTTTTTTTTATTTTACCCAGGCTGTTTTGGCTGCTATTGTACTCGTCAACATGTTCCCATTTCTTGAAAAAATTTTGGACATCCCTTACCTGTGGGAACAAGATAAATATGATTTTGTAAGTTTTGCATGATCTATGTAACAATGCTAGAGAATCAGATTAAACCAGGTAGCATGCCATTGAACAGAGCCAGTATGTCAAATACCCTGTAACTTGGAGTCAGAAGAATGAATTTGTGGCAGACTTAGGTAAGATGATAGAGGCTAAATGAACATTTTATAAAAACAGAAGTAGGAAGAAGAAAAGAACCCCCCCCCAAATAAAAACTTTCAGGTGCCCCCGGTTAGATTGTGGCACCAAAGGAGAGTAGGTTAATTGGTTTTTCACTGTGTACTTTCTCCAATGATAAATATTTTAAGTATGTTTCTACAGGATACTATAACATGTGTATTAATACTTAAAAATATGTCTGAAATCTATCTAAAGATTCCAGTTTAATGGGACTGGTCTCAGCTCAATAGCAATTGGAAGACAGACCCTTGATTTTTAGGTTAGTTGTTGACATTTTGGTATTTCAGATTAGACCCATTGCATATTGGGACTTGAACACACAGTAGTTTAGACCGCTGCAATATTATTGCAACACTGCTCTAACCAGAATTTTTTCAATTTTTTGGATCTCCAGCCTTAGTTGTTAGCCTTGCTTAACAAGATAGCTCCCCAATGAGGAAGTTGATGGATCTCACACCTTGCTTCATGAGATCTACTCCCTAGTCCTATTCATCATAGCCTTGACCAAAATACTCCAGTGATACCAAAGAGCACTTTCTGACTGTCTCCATATCAGTTCTTCCTGATCTCCTAGAATTAGAATATTAGCTATGAACAAAATGCTTTGTGCTTTTTATCACTAAGCTTTAACCTCAAAAATGACTATTGTTTATACTGAAGCTGCTGAAAATAAAATCTCAGAACCTCTTCTATCCAACACAGAAATTTTGGGAGTTTTTATTATACAGATAACACTATTCATCTGGCTAATTAGAAGGACCCTGTGCCTCTATATCAGTGGTTCCTAACCTTTTTTTCGCCCCGCACCCCTAAAGAAATTTCACTCGAACCTCGCACCCCCTGAAATTTAGACTTTAGGAAAAATGCCAACATATAGCCAATATCCTATTATTTACCTGGACTTTTCTCACACCCCCTGGAATATTGTCTCGCTGCGAGCACCCCAGGTTGGGAACCCCTGCTCTATATGACTGCTCTAGTCTCTGAGACATGCTTTTTAGTAGAGCAGACTTGCAGTGAGAAGAACTCCTTAAAGATGTGTTCCCAATGGTGTCCATGAGACATCTCTCTTGAGAGTCACAAGACTCCCTGCCCTTTCTGAATTTTTTTATATTGCTTTAATTTTTAAGAATCAGTTTATGGACATTTATTCTCATTAACATTTCTACATCTCACAACGACTCCATAAAACATCTGAATGCTGGCACAAAGTTGTTTAGAAATCTGTTCACTTTCTGAGAAAAAAAAAATACAGTTCCAAAGCTGTGATGCTTCCAGGGCAGTGGTAGAGAGGTCAGGGTGAATAGGGAGAGTATTTTCTTTGGACGATGTTTTGTACATTTTCTTGCCTCTTTTTAAAATATGTATATCAGTTTATTTTTCCTAACGTGATACATACTGTATATTGTTTGGATATGTCTATTTGTATTGCAATATCATTCTTGGAATAACTTACAGTTAAACTGCAAGGGCTTTATCATACCAATGAAGTATTTTTCTTTAGGGTTATGGGTATTTAATGTATGATTATTAAATTATTAATAATAATGTTACTGTTTTCATCTTTTAAAGGGAATTTGGATTGTGACCTTTCTAGCTGTCCTTTGCCTTGGTCTGGATATTGGGTTAGGAATTTCTTTGGGATTTGCCTTTTTTATAATAAGTGTCAGATCTCACAGGTATTTCTCCTATCATATTGTTGTCTTACTCCCACATGAGAAGTTCTAATGTTAATGTTTACTGATCCTTCTACAGCAAGATAACTTGAACTTTAAGAAAAATATTTGATAATAATAATAACTTTGTAATAAAACCAAATACTCAATGAAATTTCCCTTCCATCAGCAAGCAGATAATAATCTGCCATCTGTTGGAAATGTTCTAATTCTGGATCTCTTTCGTCAGATGAGGTAATAATATCAGTTGCCTAGTGCTATTCCTGTTCCATTTTTTTATCCAAATGATTTTAAGAGAGACCTCTTATATATGGTTTATATACTAACACACACTTCCTTAAAAATCTTGCATGTTTGAAAACTTATTTGAAAAACTGACGTTGATAATTCAATAATATGACTTGAGAATAACTTACGTTAATACCGGATTTAGCTCTTTTACACTAGAAAATTGAGAATATAGTATCCTTGTTTCCCCACCCCCACATCCTTTCTTACATTTCATGCCCTACTTCTAAAACCTGCTTTTCTTCTCTCTCTGCTCCGTGGCTATATAAAAAATAGATGGAATTTATACAAAATGTTATCCCAGAACTTATTACTATATTTGCTCTAAGCTATTTTAATTTATGTTTAAAAAAAAACCCATACCTTCCGAAAAGCTTCCCATATATAATCCCATTTATATAAAACTAGAGCTGTAAAATCTGGACTGAGCTTGCATCTTTCCCCCAAAGTTGTTAGGTGGGTTGCTTTAACTGCTAGATCCTTTCTGATTTGCTCACTATCATCGGGGCATTAGAGATGGAGCTTTTTGCTTGATTAGATAATGCAAGAGACATCTGCCTCAAAATGCTGGCTTTCCCTTATCCATTGTGTTCTATAAAATGGACAAATCAGAAAACAAAGAAAAAGGGCAGAGTAAACAAAGAACAAGGAAGACTTGCCTAAGAACATCTAAGTGGGATGCTCAGACACTTCTTCAGCTGCCCTTTCTAGAATGAACTCTGAACATCCAAAGAAAGTTGAAACCTAAAACCTTATTCAAAGTAGTAATAAATGACTCCTTTAACTGATGATTGCTGCCTTCCTGTATTTTCCCTATATTTTCTTTTTCTAATATGTTCCTTTTTACACCTAGAAATCTGGCTCTGTTGGTAAATAAGTAGATTTTTCATTAAAATATAGTCCTAATGAACATCTGTTGTGTTCCAAAACAGATACAGGTAGTCCTTGACTTACAATCATATCCAGAAAGCTGGTCGTAAGTTGTAAATTGACCAAAAGTAATTTTCCAGTCTTTTTTGTGATGGTTGTGGGCATTTTTATTTATTCTTTGCTGGAAACCATCATAAAGCATTGTGAGTAGCAGTCACATCACCACACGTCGGGAGGATTGTAATGCTGACCCTCCCGACATGTGATTACATTATTGGGGCACGGGCAGCACAACCATTTATGAGGGCTGGAGATTGTTTACAGGCGATAATGCATCCATTCCATCGCTGTCTGAACTTCAAACAGTCATAAATGATCAGTTGTAAATTGAGGACTACCTACCCAATGTTTTGGTATGTTTTGTTTTTCTGGTCTTTGGGCAGACAGTCCCAATGTACTTTTAGTTCTGTTTTTCTAGAAGCAACTCTTGGTTGAAAGAACAAAACGTTCCTGTTTGAAAAACTAGAGTGTTGAGGCCGATTGATGGCAGCCTATAACAAGAACTATTTACTGGGGGAACTTTGGAAGATGTTCTAGTAGACCAACACTTAAGTATGAGCCAGCATATCTTGCAGCTGCCAAAAAAGCTAAGGCAATCCTAGCTTCTATCAACAGAGGGATAGTTTCAAGATCATGTGAAGTGATGTTGCACCGGCGGTGTGTCGACAGAACTTGCCAGGACAGTCTTCCATGTACAGTATCTAACCCAGTTCCCAATCTCTATTCCACTCTCCTTTGTTAGAATAATTAGCTGCAGGATTATTCTACTTTGTGGCAAATTACTATATTTGAAACAGCATGCATCACCAAGGGTACTAAGCAGTCCCATACATGGTTGTTTGTCTACTTCTCTTGCATGATATGCAGATATTTAAAAAAAATAATTAACATCAGCAAACGCTAGTAACCTAATTCAGAATAAATTGTTAGCTTTCAGTGTCAGACCAACAACAAAGTATATTTCTTTTCTGCAGTAGCAAGCTTCTCTATATTTCTTCAAATGAGCTCTTTCTATTGGGTATGAAAAATAATAGTATTTCCTTCCCCCTTCTCCATGTAGATTTAAAAGTGGGAAATATAATACAAAGGAATGTGCATCTGGATGCGTACAACATTATGTATAAACTCAATTTGTCATCAAAGGAATGTCATCTGGATGCGTATAACATTATGTATAAACTCAATTTGTATTCATCATTGTTTCTCCTTTTTCTCTAAGAAAAATATTTCAGACATATGTTTAGGGTGAGATAGGTTGGAAAATTTTGATCCATTGGTTTTATTATATTTCTAAGGAGAAAGTAGATCCAATATATATACCCTTGTTTCAGAATGAAGATGGTGATGTTGGGTCAGATTCCAAATACCAATATTTATCGCAGTTTCTCTGACTACAGTGAGGTAAGAGGGAGATAAAATATATACCTTTTTTGCTATAATCCTTTTCCATTACCACCATACCAACAGCTGACAGGTCCAGATAAATTAATTTCAGAAATGATTGTGTCAGGCTCACCCTGAGACAGTGATGAACATTATTAGAAACTATTTTTACCTGCATTTCATGAAATGATACACATAATAATAGTTGACAGCCTCTGAGTGAGAAGGAAGAGTAGCTTAGAATTTACTATACCCAGGTGCATTTTAAACCTTTTGTACGATTTGAAGTCAAGACTTTGATTTCCTCTTATCTCCAAAGCTCATAATGTTCACTTATGACAGATGTTTGTGTATATTCTCTGCATTCCAGCTCTGCTATTCATGTAAGTCCATCAAGTTAAGTTGAGATTTTGTAGCCACTAACTGAGGCCTGACTCCTATTTTGTTAGGGCATTATATGTAATTATCAGGATTATGATTGTTAAAGAAGTATCACTTTTCATAAAGCAAAATCATTGGCATCCTGACTAACATACTGAAAAACATAACAGACTATAATTAATGGTTGTAATGTGCACAACTTCCCATCAACTTCTTAACTTAATATCAGCCATGAAAATATATTTTATTAATGTCTAAATGCTGTTTTATGTGCCTAAAAGTACCTGGTACTAGATTATGTTAAAAGTGAAAATTGATTTCTATACAAACTGCCATCTCAAGGCTCAAGGTTGATCATCCTTCCATCCTTCCGAGGTCAGTAAAATGAGGACCCAGATTGTTGGGGGCAATAGGCTGACTCTGTAAACCACTTAGAGAGGGCTATAAAGCACTGTGAAGTAGTATATAAGTGCTATTGATATTTCATTAGCAAATTATTGCAAGAAAACTGCTAAAATAGTTATGTGCTTAAAACTTAAAATACCTTTTTAGATACTTGTTAAAACATTATCTTTCTATAATAAAATCCTACTAGAGGATTTCTAGAGTCAGTACTTCATAGTTTCGTTGTTGTTTTTTCCCTAGCAGGGATAAGAGAGTTTGTGTGTCTGTGCATTTGTGTGGATTGTGTATGGATGCACCCATCTTTAGCCAAATTATCCTCTTGTACCTGCAAGAAGGAGATAATAGCATGATGCTTAGGTGAAATCCATTATGTTCAACAATCAGATATAATAGTTTGAGAACATACACTCTTGATTGGAATTCCAAAAAATTCCATACCATGTGGTAACATTTTGAAAAGGCTCTGGATCTAAAGAGGTTTATTTTGTTTGCTTTTTAGGCCATAGAAATTCAGGGTGTGAAAATATTCCAGTGCTGTGCTTCTATCTCATTTGCAAACATGAAACATTTCAAAAAGTACATTTTGAAAAAGGTAAATTATCCTCTCCCAATAAAGTAGTTTAGAAGCTATGCACATCTAAAAACTGAAGTCTAACCATCTTTCTGTTTCAGATGAATATGAAGGCAGTGCCTCTGGATGAAAATGAGATGCGAGCCTTGATCTCAGTCAGTATGTCCAGTGTTAAAGGACAGAGCAATGACTTAAACTGCGCCTGTATTTGTGACCCACCTGAGCCGATACCCAGGGTCAGATGAATTTCTTTTATTATGAATTTCTTTTATTATCTGTGTATGCCTGCACATATTTCAGTGGTGGGATTCAAAAAATTTTACTACTGGTTCTGGGGGCATGGCGTGGCTTGGTGAGCATGGCTTGGTGGGTGTGGCTTGGTAGGCATGGCTTGGTGGGCATGACGGGAAGGATACTGTAAAATCTCCATTCCCTCCCCACTCCTGGGGGAAGGTTACTGCAAAATCCTCATCCCTTCCCCACTAGCCTGCTTTCCAGCTCCTTCTCTTTTTGCAGGGCAACAAAAGAAAATCCAGCCAATCAGCTGGCACTTGGGATGCAGAGAATAGATGGGGGTGGGGCCAGTCAGAGGTGGTATGTGCTGGTTCTCTGAACTACTCAAATTTTCTGCTATCGGAAACTGGTCAGAACCTGCTGAATACTACCTCTGACATGTTTACTCAAAACCTTTCTTATTCTTAGACAAACAACACTTAGGAAAATGTTTTCCACTTTTTTACACTGACAGCATACAGCAATAGGCTGTAAAATATTGGTTTTCTTTATTTGTTAATCAAATGTGTATAGCAGGTCATGTCACAAAAAGTGACTGTGGGAGGTGTATAACTCTCAAATAAAACAAATACAAAAACAAGAGGTGTAAAAAGTGTCACAATCCACATTAAAAGATAAATATTATGAAAACAAATATACAAACTTTAAACAAGGAGAGTGGATAAAAATGGTCACCTTAGCGATAGAGCCATCTAACCATATCTCCATTTCCCTGGGTACCCTAAGCCTAATAACATAACCAGGTCTTTAGGGACTTATAGAATGTCAAAAGGGATGGAGCTAATCTAATTTAATCTTGGAGAGAACAACCATAAGGTGAGTTCAACAGCAGGGAAGGCTCATCTCCTGGGACTCACTAAATGTAGGTCTCTAGCTGATGCAGGGGTGAAATTAAACCATCTTGGCCCATCTCTGGAGAGGTAGAAGCAACGATTTGAATTGGTAAAAAATCGCCTCTGGTTGCTATTACTATTATACCAAGCATACCAAGCATACAGAGCCGACAGGGGAAAATTTTGAATTTCACCCCTGAACTGATGAGTAGTTCTTCTCTGCCAGGTCTGATGGGGTAGGCAGATGTAACTGGGGAGATGTGGTTCCTCAGATAGTCCAGTCCCATGCCATGAAGGGCTTTAAAGTTTAAAACTAGAATCTTCATTTGGATCTGGAAGCAAACTGGCAACTAATGCTGCTCATGAGACAGAGGTATGAGATGTGTTATTCTTGGAGTGCAATAATTGTCCCTGGCACTTCATTCTATACCAACTGAAGCTTTTGGATACTCTTCAAAGGCAGTCCCATAGAGTACACTGCAGTAGCCCAATCTGGAAATGACTAGCCCATGAATAATTTTAAGCAGTTGAATGATTAGGTGAAGTCTGAAATCTGTAGGCAGGGCCTGCCAATTCACAAATGGTGCACAAGATGATGTAATATAAACCAGGTTGGCTTTTTTATTGACATTCAAATCATGGATGAGGAAGGCCTTATTACAGACTAACCTGGTACCAGTAGCTGGAGGCCAGGACCACTGACAGTCCACTAGTAGGGCATTAGGATTGAGATCAAAGACCTGGATGGCAGAATTTAGCCTCCATAGAATAATTTATACATTGCCTAAAGTGTGATTTTGCTAATGAACTCCAAAATAAATCTACTCACTTTACCATGGTATGGTATGTAGAATGTGAAAGGAAGGTCATAACTCTAGATACCTGGCAGGGAGAGACCAGCAGGCAGAATGCCTCCCCTGCCACTTCTAAGAATTATTTCCCAGAAGAATGGAATTTGTATGGATCACTCAATGGCTCCTGTAAATTTTTTCTCCAATCAGGAACATGGCAGAGGACTGGAAAGATTTCATATAATCCTTAATCCTTCCTATTTTATCCCTTACCATTCCACATTTTTCTTGGTGATAAGGAAGCAAGAGAGAATTCTGATGTTAGATTTCCTCCCCAAAATTAAGACCCCTTTTCCAATATCTAAGGGAGAACTCCGAGAACTCTTATTAAGTGAAATGACAAATATGACATTAAATTAAGTGGCCCAAAGTTTAAGTATATGAAAATGATGAGTCTGTAAAGAACAATAGGAAGTACTTTATAATTTTCAGTGTCACCCCCATTCTGTTCTAGAATCTCTTATCTTTCTTAAATTCTAGATACCCTATAGAGAGAAACTTGTAAAGCGAGTTCCTATTGCTAATGAAACATTCTCTGCTTCTTCTTTGGCCTTGGTACGTTGGACAAGAAACCCTTCTGATGTACAATACTCCGAATCTCCACCAAGAGAAAGGCCATATAGCTATGCAAAGAGGAAGGAAGATCTGGATAAAATGTGGTTTTCATCAGACCGTCGTTTAACAAGGTCTACAACTCAGTTGTATACACTTGACTCAGAGTATGCAATGCATAGGATTCACACTATTGTTTTAGACTTTAGCATGGTGCACTTTGTTGATTTACAAGCTTCTTGTTTATTACGGGAGGTAAGTCTCTTGTATTGTTTTAGAATTGTATTAATCTAAAATTTTGATTTAGTATATATATCATCATCTCCTTTTTTGACCCCATAATCCCTTGCGGGATGGAGTCTGGGCAACTGAATGAAGCAGAGCAGTGGTGGGATTAAAAAACTTTTACCACCGGTTCGGTGAGCGCTGTTTGCGTGCGTGCACACACTTTACATCCACGTGCGCCCCACACACTTTGCGCAAGCACAGAGGAGTTTGTGCAGGCACAAAGGTGTTCCAATTCACCTCCTGTGAGCCTGCACTCTCCTGGTTGCTTCAACAGCTGCCGTATGGCACTCTTCTGTGCCGCGCAAAGCAGCTGCGCTTCAAAAGCAGAAGATAAAGGTGAGTATGGAAGCCTGGGCAGGCGGGCAGGCCCAACAGCAAGAGAAAACTAGTTTGGTCTCTGCTGCTCATCGCCGCTACCGGCTCGGCAGAACCAGGCCGAACTGGTAGCATACCACTACTGGAGCAGAGTGTTTACTGGCCAGGTGGCCTTCCTGTCTCCAATGCAGGATTTCATTCGGCAGATAAATTCTCATTCTTCCCAGAGAGAAATACCTGCCTCTATCTAGAATCATACGCACAGCCTCCTGGTTGTGAGGCAAGAGGTCTACCTCTAGGTCACCAAACCACTCATTGATTTAGTGTATGTATGTATGTAAGTATGTATGTATGTATGAATTAATTAATTAATTAATTAATTATGTGACAGACTCTGTTTGGAATTTATAAGTGGATATCTAATAGGCAAGATCAACTACAAGCAAGAACCTCAAGGCTTCGTAAGGGCCTCAAGGCCTAGCTCTGCCAGCTGGCTTGGGGCCCCAGTGGGAGAACAGCACAGTGGAGGTGGTTGATCGAGTAATAACAGATCCCACCTCCCTCTACACTATTCACATCCATCCCATGTGTCATCTGATTTTAATATTTAGCTTTAATTTAATTTATATATGTTTTAATATATTGTATAAATACATTTTTATGACTGTTAGCCACCCAGAGTAACTCTGTGAAAAGATGGAGTGGCCAATAAATTTTATAATAAAATAAATGAATGAATGAATGAATGAATGAATGAATGAATGAAAGCAGCACAATCAAATATAATTCGTATATTTATTTTTTACAGTTCCTTCATCTATATATTATTTTTCTAGTAGTAAAAAGATGCTCCATCTACTTATATTTAGCCATCCAGATTTGAAGGTTTCTTTTTTAAAATATGTGGTCTAATAGTTAGTTAAATATGCATTCAGTGTTTTGAAATAATGTATTATGAATCTCAGTTAAAACAGGGTTGAAGAAACTGGATGAATAATGTGGTTTTCCAGATATATACAAAATCGATACTTTCCTGAAACCTTGTGACATCTAATTTATAGCATAACGTTTTAAAGAACACACATTTTGAAATGCTATAGGTAGTCTGGTAATACTGATCATAAAATTTGATCATAAAATAAATAACAAGAGAAGCATGAGAGGATTGGTTTATTTTTCTCTACAAAACAGAAGCTCCACAATGGAATGAATTCTTATGTTTAGATATCACACAGAGTATAAAATTCTGACAGTAATATCCATGTCAGCATAAAGCAAAAAATGTGATACATTTTATGCAGGAAGCACTTGGTACAGTCTGTCCAAATATGAGTACAGTTGTGTACCTAATGCATAATTTGATTAACTAGTCCCGGATGGATCTATATTGATTCCTTTTTGATTAGAAAAATATATGACCTTGATTGGGTCTTATCTACCTCAGTGAACAAGACACTAGAATCAGGACACTCTGCTTTGGTTAATCCACCAACAGTATCAGTAACCCAATGCACTGCAGGAAATAAAGCACAGGAACATCCAATTCCTTCTATTATCTAGACTGGTTATGAAGCCAGTCACCTAGGCCACACAGATCTGCCTCATGTTTTCATGAAAAATAGATTTTCTTTTTAAAGTCGTACTGTCAACTTGTAAAGAATTCCTATTGTCTGTTTGTTAATGTTAAATAACGTTAAACAAACATATTCAGCGCTTCACCCACACACTACTTCTATTTGAACTGTCAGAAGATTTGGATATTTAGTAATCAAATGTTGTATCTTACTATCAATAAATGTTAATGATTTAATATGAGGGGTTGGTCTGTTATTATGAGATAAGATATCCTGAGATATATTTGCCAAGTGAACGAAGTTATAGCAAAAACATATTTGCCTTAGATATGTAAGATACATGCATTATTTCTGGACATCTCTTACATAATGTTGTTTACCAAAGAGGTATAAGAATTTATATAACTCTCCCAAGTATAAAGGGCATAACTAAACTCCACCAGATTTTTGGGCTGATAATCTGCAAAAGAAAACTAGATTCACCACAATAGAAATAGATTTAGCTATCCAAATCCTAGCCATAGGGCTATGCTGGTTTGGAATTATAGCAGTGATTGTAGCAGAATGCTGGTCCCTATTAAGCATCTTGAAGAAGCTCTTTTATTGAACTGTTTCAACCTCTGAAAGTGAAATTATTACTAATTATCACATAATGGCTTCCTTTATAGCTCTGTCATGTCTTTCAGAACATTGGAATCTCAGTCCTGATAGCTACTTGTCATCGTGAGTATAGACATAGTAATTATCTATATGCAACAATTGTGGGCTATAGCATGAACCATAAAATAAATAAAGCTTTCTTTTTTAAAAAAAAATCACACAACCGCATGTAATATTTCTGCCTTTTTATCTCACAGCCACTGTGATAAAAACTTTTGAAAGGCATGATTTCTTTGACCAATGTGTTACTAAAGCCCGGTTCTTTCCTACTCTGCATGATGCAATACTCTTTGCTGTGGAGCCAAGCCTATTGGAAGAGATGGTTCCAGTGGAAACCCAAAATGCGGCTCCTGAGGACGTGATGGCAGAAATGCAATTAGATGATGAACAGGTATACTTCAATGAAGGTCCATGATAAATGTACCAACATGATTAACACTGGAAAGCCTTCGTTTCAGCCAATGAAATATTGCTGTATTATAATTACAAGGGGCATTCTAAAGTACTCCCAGCAAAGATGATTTGCAATTCTTTTTAGTTCATCCCTAGGATTCTGCTGAGCACTTATATTGTTCTGCTACATGCTTCATGATTCAGATTTCTTCCTTGTCATTGACATAATCTTTTTCAAGATTAAATATGTCAGTGATGATTATTATAGTGCTTATCCTCCTGCTGCCAGTCCAGCATGACACTCTGTTGTGTTCCTAGGAAAAACACAATGCGCCTAAGAAAAGCCAATAAAAATTCTCCAACCAGAATCTTCCATGGATTTCAACACAGCTGAGATGCTCCCTGTTCAGCTAAATGTACAGAGCAGGATTGCTTGTGCTGATTCTGTCGATCTGCCGATTTTGCCAGCCTCAATCTGAGGGTTGCACATTCAGGGAAACACTTACGCAGTAAAGAGACATCCATGTATATTATACAAGCCTGATTATTTAATACTTCTAGAGCAGAGATCCACAACCTCCAGGCCATAAACCGGTTCCAGTCTGTGGCCTGTTAGAAACTGGGCCACACAGCTGGAGGTGAGCAAAGGGCAAGTGAACGAAACTGAAACCGTTCCCTTCTCCCAGTCTATGTAAAAATGGTCTTCCATGAAATGGGTTCCTGGTGCCAAAAAGGTTGGAGGCTATTGTGTAGAGCATCTACATGAATACAGCTAAATAGTTTCTCTTTGTAGCTGCTGTGCTGAAGTGAAAACATCGAGGATGAGGGCAAGAAGGAACATTACTGTGTTGTGATACATATATTGCAAAGTATTGCCTTTCCCACTTTTCCGATTTTATCTATGTAAAGAACAAACGCAGGATTCATATTGCATGGGAGTAGCATAGGAGAAACTTTTCATGTAAATATCTATGGAGGTCATCCGGGTCATGGCTGTCTCAAAGGTGCTTTTTCAAGAGGCAACTGGACTTCCTGGTTTTTATTTGAAGACATTTTGCTTCTCATCCAAGAAGCTGTTACTGCTGTGACTGGATGGTGGGGAATCCAGTCAGTGCTGAAGAAACTTCTTAGATGAGAAGCGAAATGTCTTTAAAGAAAAATCAGAAAGTCCAGTTGCCTCTTGAAAAAGCACCTTGGGGACTTTTCAGGTAAACTTTCTCAAGCATAATCGAACCATTGACTTTATACTTTTCCTCATAGTGATGGCCTTTTAGTTCAGCTGAAGGCTTTGATATTTATTTTTAAGTAACTAAGAACACCGATTGCCACTTTGGGCTAAATGAATAGGGTCCTTCCCCTTAAATGTTGGTTTCTGTCTTAACTAGATTGAACTAATTATTTTAACTTTGCTAAATTAATCCTTTATTTTTCTGGAATCATGGCAAAGGCTCCTTTGTAATTTGCATATGTAAGATCCTGGTAATATTCAGTTTGGTGGATAAGAAAAATGGATATGTGAGAGTGTATGCATGCATATGTGAGAATTTCTGTATATGTAGGCATTATATATTTGTGTAACAGATAACAGATAATCAGAGTTGGAAGGGACCTTGTAGGTCATCTAGTCCAACCCCCACCCAAGTGGGAGACCCTACACCATGTCTGACAGATGGCAGTCCAATCTCTTCTTGAAAGTCTCAAGTGATGGTGCTCCTACAACTTCCGAGGACAAGGTGTTCCATTGATTGATTGTTCTCACTCTCAGAAAGTTTCTCCTTATTTCCAGGTTAAATCACTCCTTGTTGAGTTTCCATCTATTATTCCTTGTCTGGCCTACAGGCGCTTTAGAAAACAGCTTGACCCCTTCCTCCCTGTGGCAGCGCCTCAAATATTGGAAGAGCACTATCGTGTCTCCCCTGGTCCTTCTCTTCACTAGATTAGCCATACCCAGTTCCTGTAACCTTTCTTCATTTGTGTACATTTTAGGACATAAGAAGTTACCACTCTGGGAGAAGTAAGCGATCGGAGAGGACTCAGCAGTCCACAGGAATCAGAGATGCCCCCACACCCAAAACTGTTCAAAGTGAAACCTACATTGAGGAGCCCATATCTGATCTTTTCCGCACATTTTCTCTCCAGAGTGACCTAGAGGGTATGTCTCATCACCCTATTGAAACATCTCGCCTTGAGGACAATGAAGATGATCAGGAATGGGAAGGAAAGTGGAATTATTCCAGAGATATGTAAATTATGAGATCTATTCAAATTAGCTAAATAAACAATAGCAAAAGTATAACACAGTTAATCTGGACTATGTCCCCTGGGAGTAATATCCTAGGTCAAATGGATAGCTCCTTTTTTGTTGGTATTATTGCAAAATGATGCAACATTCATATAACCAATAAATTCATTGAGATAATATATATTTTCTTTTAAAAGAACATTTTGATTAGGCAATGAAATGTACTATAAAGCTGTAAATATGAAAATCATTTTTATTAATTATTAATTCCCAGGGGTTTCTTTTTACTGTGTAGGTTTTCTAGCTTCCCAAAAGAAATTTCTTACTTAACTGCATATGGTTTGAAGTTTTAATACTTTAAATAATACATTTTGGATGAATAAATGCTGCCATATTTTAGATTCCAAGTTTAAATTTCTGGTGTCTGATAAGCAAATTTGATTATTCTCCAAAGCACTACAGTTAGGTCAGCTTAAAGGAATATTACATTTTACTTTCAGATTCAGATAAGTATGCCTAATACCTATTTAACACTTTCCAAAGCTATTGCAAAATTTTATGTGAGCACCTTATAAGCACATGTTTAGCATTCTTTGGAACGTGACTAGTATTGTGCTATACAGAAGGTTGATTTAACTGGGAAAGAGATCTGTGTTCTTCCATGTGTGTATTGCTGTTAAGAATATAAACATTACCCTGCTGGATTGGACCATCGATCCACTTACTGTTCTTACATTGGCCAATCAACTGTACAAGGAAGTCCACTGACTCACTGAAGACATTACAGATTTTCTGCTGCTTCAGCAAACAAAGAGACTCACACAGCTATAACTTTACTGTTTTTATTACTTTGGTGATGGAAGGCAGTGTAGCGTGGCTACTCTACAGTCCAACTCTAAAGCTATCCACAAAAAAAATCCTTCCTGGTGCTGTTAACTGCAGAAAAAAAAAAATAGATTTGCTGTTGGCACTGCCATTACCTTGCAGCGCTAGACAAGACTGAAGTTCACATGTTATCAGTTATTCCTTCCTGCCTCATTCCAGGCTTTTATTGGACATGGTTTAGTGCTCTTCCAGAAGAATATATGTGTTCAGAAATAACGGAATCAACACAAGCACAAATAACAAAACTGATGGTAAGACAACTTGACCGATCATTGAATACATTCCATGCACCAATATACAATCACCCAACCCCGGTCTACATATTTTAGGGGTCTTGATTATTGTTTTCTACTAGTAGATGACACTTGGAGTGAGAGAAAGCAAAGCCAGGACAAGCCACCAATGAATTTCCTTTGGTTTCACATTAAAATGGTCAGGCCAGCATCAATCACTAGCATTGTGACTGTATTAGGATAAGGTATGGCCACTGCTACAAAATGTAATACCGACATACTCTTCTGCTGGCTTATGGTTTGAGAAATAACTTTGCAATGTGAATCTGGAGATTTGTGAAAACCAATTATATAAAATATGAATTTTTATTTATGTGTGATTCTAGATAATTGCTTATTTACTAATCCATGGTTAATTAAGCTATGGCTTAGGGTATTATATGAACTAGGCTCTGCTGAATATAAAGGTGACAATTCTTTTATTGCACATATCATATCCCATTTTCTGCATCTCAATTAAAATGAAAAATATATGAAACAATATGAAAACTACCAGTATTTAAGAAACAATTCCTGTAGGACATTGGCTACCACTTAGTATTATTCTTTTGGAGAACCATGCAAGGATTATATATGTAGTAATTCCTTGTTGAGAGTTTATTGAACATCACAGGTGTATTTCAAAGCTTTCTGAAAGCACATTTAACAAAATACAGTAAATGATTTCTCTGTCTCATTTTTTATTATGTAGTGATTGTTGTATGCATTACCTGACAATTGTGCCTGTAGGATTATTCCAGGGGTATCATTCAATCTTTCAGTTCAATATGAGAAACACTGCCAAGATTTTTAAACACATTTCTTAAAAAGAGTATTTAATGGTCCATTGTCACTTATTTACTTTTTAATGGTAGATTTTTTTCTGTCCATGGAAGCTCACAAACACAGGTCTCAATTTTATGAAAACCACTTTTTATTATTGTTCACTCATTGAAAATTTCCAAGTCTTCACGGTGTTAGAAACAGAGTTGGTCCCTTTCCAAATAAAGTTACTTAATTTTAGTAACATTGCTATGGAAGAAAAGTGTGGATGATTTCACACAACGATTAAAGTTATATTTATATAAATCAGTGCTTCTCTAAGGCATCTTTTCAGTGCTATTTGGGAGTAAAAACAACTATTAAATGGAATGGATTCAACAGTCTTCATTCATAAAAAAGAACCTTTGATTCAGATAATGGGGTAGATTATTTTTATCAATTCATCCTTATTAGCAACTTCTGTCCACATATCACATATGCTATTATGGATACCTCACAATCTCCTATGGCAAATCACAATTACAAAAGGGAAAGGAATGAGAAAACTACAATATTAATATACTTCTGGAACAACCTAAAGTTGAATGAAACTCCATACACACATTCTTGAGAAGTTCTTATTTTCAGGAATACATGGGTGAGTGAAATTTTCAATAACTTTATGTGGATGCATACAGGTAGTTCTTGACTTATTTGAATCTAAAATTTCTGTTGTTAAGTGAGACAATTGTTAAATGAGTTTTGTCCTATCTTATGATCTTTCTTGCCACAGTTGTTAAATGAATCACTAGTTGTTAAGTTAGTAACACAGTTAAGTGAATCTGGCTTCCCTATTGACTGTGCTTGCCAGAGGGTCATAAAAGGTGATTACATGACCCCGGGATACTGCAACCATCTGTGATGACCCAGGGTATGGCACAAAGGCAACACAGTTAAATAAGCAAGGAGAGTCCCTTTATTATCTCCAACTTTGCCCCCAATGTCCTGGTTAACTTCGGCTGGAGAAAAACTCTCAGGAACAGTCTTTAAGTGGAGAACAACTTGCTATACACAGCTTCCCTTTTTAACACTGTGTTCCCAGCTGCAGCTAATGAAGGGAATCAGGGCCCTTTCCTCCCCCATAAACCACGCAACTCACATTGCTTCCTTCGCCGTTCCTCCCTGCATGTCCTAGGATGAAGGGGAGATGGACCTGGGTCTTCCTCTGAATTCCCTCTGCCTTGCTCTACCTCTTCCCTGCTCTGCCCAGCGGGACTTTGCCCTTCCCCAGTTTCTTTCACAGCCAAAGGAGCCACACTCCCACACCCTGTCAGCTGCTCGGCCTCCCCCTCTGAATCAGATTCTAACAGGGGCATGGCACCATCATAAATAAGTCAGTTGCCAAACATCTTACTGATTACGTGACCATGGGGATGCTACAACGGTCATAAGGGTGAAAAGTGGTTATAAATTACTTTTTTCACTAGCATTGTAACTGTAAACAATCAGTAAATGAACTCTTGTATGTCAAGGACTAGCTATACTATATTTTTCTAGCATAATCATTGCTTTTATGTTGCTGCCAGGCTAAGTTTTTCTGTTCCGGTTTCTGTTTTATAAATAATTCTCAAGATAATGTAGATTATCATTATCATTATGAACATTATCATTGTTCATGATCATGATATGTTCATGATAAATCTTACCATCAATAAGTTTACAGTACTCCTTGACTAACAACCATTCGTTTAGTGACTTGTTCAAAGTTACAACAGCACTGAAAAAAATGACTTATGACTGGTTTCACACTTACGACTGTTTCAGCATCCCCATGGTCACATGAGCATGACTGCTGGCATCTATTTATGATGGTTGCAATGTTAGGGTGTCATGTGATCACCATCTGTAACCTTCCCAGCTGGCTTCCCACAAAAGCACCTCAATGGGGAAAACCAGATTCACCTAATAACCACGATTCACTTAATGACTGCAATGATTCATTTAACAATTGTGGCAAAAGGTCATAAAATGGAGCACAACTCACTTAACTGTCTTGTTTAGCAACTGAAATTTTGGGTTCCATAGCAGTCATAAGTCGAGGAGTAACTGTAGGGAATTCTGTCTGAACTGAATTTTGCTGCCTAGAAATCCTACATAGATAGCATTTCATCTCACTAAAATCAATAAGTGACTTGTAAGAAAAATAAATAAAACCTGGCCTTTCACTTTCCTTTTGGGTATTAGTTTCTGTATGATTACTTAGAAAAGGTACTATGCAAGAAACAAATATTTATGGAATGGAAGGTAGCTCAGATAATCTAAATGTATTTATGTGTGAGCAATATGAAGACCTACAACAATGATCCAAAAACAAATACAAAAATGTGTATGTTTTTAAAAAATAATCAAAGGTCCATTTTTTTCTTCAGAATGAGTTGCCTCACAAGTTCGATGATGTAAGGTTTTATTTCCTCAACAGTGACAGTAGAGTCCCAAGCATTTACTGCTTTCCCATCTGGATCTACCAGATACTTCCAGAAGTTCCAAGTTGGCTCTTTTCCAGTGGATTCTACATAAAAAAGTTTAAATATCAGAGATTTGAATCATCTATAATTTGCATATTTGCAGCCTTAAAATACATGTAAGATTAAATAAGAAATGTGATTATCCAAAGGAAAACTAATATTAAATATTATAGAAATAAAGATTAACCCAGATCTTACAAGAGTTCATTTTGGTTTGGAAGAAAAAAATGCTTAATGCTCAAATGCTTCAACAAAATGGAACATTTCAGCAAAAAGAACCTTACAACCTTGCATTGATCACACATTTAATTATTTTTTAAATTAAAATCATTTTGTTTCCAATTGGTAACCTTTAGATATATTGGATTACAATTTCCACCATCACTAGCAAACATGACCAATAGGCATATTTTTCTTTCATCCTTTATCCCTTTTCTCTATTTCTCTCCCTTGCACCTCGTTTTTTTAATTTTCTTTTTCCCTTCTCTCTCTCTCTTTCTCTCATTCTCTCTCTCTCTCTCTCTCATATTAAAGCAATAACAAATGCTTTGAAAAAGATTTGTGCTTGCTATAGTTCTTTCAAGGCACATTATATTGAGTTACATGCAATTCAGGAATATGGTAACTATGAGGTAAAGTATAAGGTAACTAAATTTTGCTGAAATCCTACTAAAAGTAGTAACCAAAACAAATCAAAACATCAATTTATTTTACTATATAAACTTAAAAGAAACAAAGAAATTATTGTTGAATTCATGGTAATCCCTGAATCTCTCAAAGGTAAGCTATCACTGATAGCAATCATAAACCTGTCTACAGTTTATAGGGAATAACAATAAAGTTAGTATTTTCAGCTGTTTCAATCTATTTTAATACTCACCAATTAAAAATTTAAAGGCTGGATTTGCTCCGATGCCCTTCACTGCTATCTTGCTGAACATAGGAAATGTAACGCTATATGTTTGTTGGACAAACCTCTCAATTTCATTATTACTGTTGGGTTCTTGCTGTCCAAACTGATTGCAGGGAAATGCTAGCACATTAAAATGATAAGAACCAATCTCTCTCTGCAACTGTTGTAAGGCTTTGTAGTGACTGTCGGTATATCCACATTCACTTGCAACATTGACAACTAATGATACCTAATGGAAGGAATAACAAAAGTACAAGTTATAATACATCCTGCATTTTACTTTCAGAAGTATAGCATGCTTTACTTCCTATATATCCCATTTTCAGAAATGGAGCATTTTGAGAAGAATATTTTGCTTTTAGACTTTGCTTTCATAATTAATATAATACATATATGGGTAGAGTTGGTGCAGTGGTCAAGGCATCAGTTAGAAACCAGGATACCATGACTTTAAATCGCATCTTAGGCACAAAGCCAGCTGGGTGACCTTGGGCCAGTTACTTTCTCTCAGCCCTAAGGAGACAATGGCAAACCACTTCTGAAAAACCTTGCCTAGAAAACTGCATGAACTTGTCCAGGCAGACTGAGATACAATTGAACAGAAGAAAAAATAATAATACATACACACTGATAAAGTAAATAACTAAATCCTTTTGAGACCCATGTCAGTTTGAAATTAGGTATGTTTGCAATTATTTTTCCCCTCTCTTCACTAATAGAACACATTAGCCATTGGTCTGTGGACAAATGTCTTATAAAATGTGCAGTCGTCTGATAAATCTTTTACTGTACAATCCAGTTTTATTCTTGAAGTTAAGCTGAGGATACCTGTATGGAAATCAGAGGCATTGGTGGAGGAGAGAAAAAATATTACTTCCTTGCCTCCTTGAATGTGTATGTGATAGAAATCGATTACACATATGCCTAAGAGGGGATGGGTTTTACATGCTTGTGATTGCCATCTTGATATTTTTTGACCTTTCATGGATGCCCATGATTTGTTGTGATCACATTTTGGTGTATTGGTCATAAATTTTTAAATAAATAGATAGTTTAATAGGGCAACAGTGAAAAATGGTTGCAAATTGTTCAAAATTCTGTAATAGGTAGGTAATGAAGAATCATATCTGAGTAGATAATAACAGAATAACAGAGTTGGAAGAGACTTCGGAAGACTTCTAGTCCAACCTTCCTTGCTCAAGTAGGAAACCTTATACCATTTCAGGCAAATGTTTGTCCAATCTGTTCTTAAAAATCTCCAGCATTGCATCACCCACAACATCTGGAAAAAAACTCATTCCACTAATTAATTGTTCTAACTGCCAGGAAATTTCTCTTTACGCTAGGCTGGTTCTCTCCTTGATTAGTTTTCATCCATTGCTTCTTGTCCTGCCTATTCTTTGGAGAATAGATTGACGCCTGACTTCCTTGTGGCAGCCCCTCAAATTTTGGAACACTGCTATCTTGTCACCCCTATAATTTGGTATGCTACTGCAATCCATAAAATGAAACATGGATTTTTAAAAGCTATTCAGCTTTTTAAAAGTCACTAGGGCTGTGCCTTTTGAAAAATCATCTATCTATCTATCCATCCATCCATCCATCCATCTATCTATCTATTCCAGACATTATCCTTTTCTCCCCACAAAACAACCCTGCCTGGTATTCTGAGATATGAGAGAAATTGAAAGGAGTTCTGAAAGGAAGAATAGGGAAAACATTAAAAAGATAGAAAGATTGATTCCAGGACAATTTCTTTTGTATCAAAGGAGGTGCTACAAGTACTGTCAGCTGTAATTGCCATATTTACTGTTCCCCCCCCTTTAAATGTTGATCGTATAAACAACTGCGCTTAAATTCTAATTATGTAATCAAATTTGCAGGTAGGTAAATATTTAACTTTATGTAATGTAAAGGTGGTGTCAATTTCTGTTCAGTGTAAGGTTTCATTGAAATATATAATCAGGGGACAACTACATTTTTATATACAATTGCATCGTGCAATTAATTACCTGTGGTGAATTTCATATGCCATAGAGGTTGTGAGGGGAGACAGAACATTTTCTATGCTAGAATCATTAGTGTTTTACTGTGCTTTTCCAAATGACCACTGAAGCTTTTAACTACTAATCTAACTAGAGGTAATACCAAAACCAACAGCAGCAATAACAACTTTATTTATAGTCAGAAACAAAACAAGTAAATAAGAATTCCATTTTGCCATTAAGTCTGTATTTGAATGGCTTTAATATATCAAATAACAACCTTCTTCAGCCATCTGTTTTTCAGATATATTATTGTAATTATTTCTCACATGGCCAAAGGAAAATCACCTGATGTCAGATTTGGTCATTAGCAAAGAAAAGACAGACAAAAATCAGACATTTTGCTCAAAAAATCAGGCTGTGCAGTAAGTAGCAAAGTTTGGGTGAGAGAAAGGTTGAATTTATGAGTCATTGAATTTTATGAAACTGTTTTAGATAAAATGAAGTTGGATTCTTTTGCAATGCCTTCCTCTACAATCGGGCTGTCAAACTTGTGGCTCATGGGCCAGATGCATCACATGCTGGCCACACCCACGCCTGGTTTAGCGAAGGGGGAAAAAGGTCATGATACACATGATGATGCTGTGACGATGCAAGTTTGACACCTCTGCTCTGCAAGAAAGATTCCTTATCAGAAGTTCCTGGATTCTTGTGTGCTAATGAATTGTTCCCAATTCAGCATGCCGGGGATAACTCTGCCAGATACATGTAGTCTTCAACTTACAACAGTTCATCTACTGACCGTTCAAAGTTACAACGGCAGTGAAAAAAGTGATTTCTGACCTTTTTTCACAGTTAGGACCACTGCAGAATCCCCATGGACACACGATCAAAATTCAAATGCTTGGCAACTGGCTCATACTTATGACAGTTGCAATGCCCCAGGATCATGTGATCCCATTTTGCAACTTTCTGACAAGCAAAGTCAATGGGGTAGCCAGATTCACTTAACAACTATGTTACTAATTTAACAACTACAGTGATTCATTTAATAGCTGTGGCAAGAAAAGTCATAAAATGAAGTGACATTCACTTAACGAATGTTTCACTTAGCAACAGAGATGTTTGGCTCAATTGTGGTCATTAAATCAAGGACTACCTGGATTAGGAAGGTTGCTTTATGGCTAACCAGAGCTTGTTAAGGACCAGCTACTGTACTGGATGATAAATATGGAAAATCTATGCTTTAATAAGCTATCAAATTTTGAATGTAGAATTGTCTCTATATTTTAATTCTTTTCTTTTAATCTGAGAAAGACAACAACTGTGCTGACAAGAAATAATGGGATTTGTCATCCCATGATTCCTTGAGAATACTAGATTGTGGAGAGCTTAGCCCTTACATGTAAGGTAACAGCTGAGAATCAAACTGTTATACAGTACGCTCAACTCAGGAAAACTGAATGTGAATCATGTTTGCCATCTAGTGGACCCCGTAACTCCTCCTGCATTTTACTTCCAACATCTTGGAAGTGGTACATTAAATGTGTGCATCAAAACAAGTTGAAAATGAAACAAAATACTATAAGAGTAGCTTTTGGAGAGATGTGGAGCATGTAAGTTAGATAGATAGAGTACTAGACATACATAGTAGTACTATACTACATATACTATACTATATATGCATAGCAACAAATTTGCTACATTCAGTGTATGGTCAGAATTTATTTATTTTCCATCTTTATTAATTTTATAAATAACTCAAGGTGGCAAAGATATCCAACACACTTTCCTCCTCCTATTTTCTCCACAACAACCCTGAGAGGTGAGTTGGGCTGAGACTGACTAGTCCAAGGTCACTAAGCTGGTTTTCATGGCCAAGGTGAGATTTGAACTTTCAGTCTCTCGCTTTCTAGCTTGCTGTCTTAACCACTAGCTCAAACTGGCTATATTACCAAGCATTCGGATTACTTGAATTATCTCTGTAGATCTATGTTAAAATTGGAAGAAATTATCAGAGCATATAATATTGGAAAATATAGTAGCTGGTATCATAAAAAGGACAAGATATGGAATTCTATCTTGGAAGTAGCTTTGAAATGATTACACACAGACACAAACACTTTTAAGCATACTTTCGAATATTTGTTTATTTTTATTTTTCACATTTTTTTTGAACCACTGATCCCTTTCAAAGATGGTTTTATTAGGAAATTGCTGATTTTACTAATGACTTTATGAAAAATTGATAATTTTGGCATAATTTTTATATTTCTTCTTTATGGAAGAAAAAATGGAATAACTATATTAATACCTATATAATAACTATATTAAGCCGCTTTCTGGGAGGCTTAGCCAAGTACTTTGCAGTTCAGTGGGTAACTTGTAGGTCTTGTGAGGATAAAACTAAGGATTGACTGTTAAAATTACTTTGCACACTTTAGAAGAAATACTGTATGTGATATAACAAATTCATTACAAGTGTTTGTAAATGTTATCCTCCTGGACAGTGAGAAATGTAAAAAGTATAATGGCATAAACCAAATATTCTAAAGAAGTCTATTAAAGTACACGTAACCTTTGTTGACAATGAAAATACTTTAGGTTGATCCTAAAAGGCTTCAAGACAGAGTAAACAAACTAGCAGTTAATACCCTACAGACTATTTGCTAAATAAAAGAGCAATGAAGACCTTGGAAATATATTCAGATGTGGGAATATGTCTATAGCTATGAAGATTAGATCAATGGTTTTCCTTTTGACAATATGGAAGAACAACACTGAAGAAGAAAGATAGAAAAAGTGTTGATATATTTGAATTGGAGTTGGAGAAGACTCCTGAGAATATATTTACACTATTTACACATACAGTTCTCCTGTTGTGGGAAAGATAAGAGGAGGAAGGAGCATTAGATACAGTACATTCACTACCTTGAGTTGTTTATAAAAATAATAAAGGTTATAAATAAAATAAAAATATGCTATACTGCATATACTGCTTAGCTGAGACCAACCAAGATCATTAATTTTACTACCTAACTAGACAAAGAAATCTACTAGGGAGCTGATAAAATAAAAATTGTCTAAATAATAAATAGGAAAATACTTTGGAATATATTTGGAAAGTAGTGAATCCTGTCCCAATGCATTTTTCATAACCAGCAAGAGTTGAATGCTTAATCTTGGTTAGAATAAAAACCAGTTTTATATCAGAGCATCAAAGTTTTGTATCTGTATGCATCAATGTCTGGATAAAAGATTTTTATTTGTAGATTGCCAAGATATAGTACAATGTTCTTTCTGTGAGTTTCCCAAAGCACCCAAAATTAGTACTCCAAAGCATCTCATTGTCACTATTATTTTCTCCATAGGAACTTCTTAATGTGTGTGCATGCACATGTGTGCACATGTATGTGTGTATGGGGGAAAGGAAGGAAGTAAGGGAAAAACAGCATCCTGATTTGATTTACTCATACAGTAAATTTACTTTTAATGAGTTACAATAGGATTTCTATGCACTGTCCTAATTAAGTTCTTAATTAGGTCTCAATTTAAAATTAAAATTAAGCATTGGAATACTTATTTACCTATCTGGTTTCAGATTTTAAATAAAGATATTATCATCACCAGTTTATATCAGTAATTAAGAGCTTCAGCAAGCAATAATGAATAAATTTTAATATAGATCAGTATGCATTATGGTAAACTAATCTATACAAGATTACTTACATATCTGCCTGCATTTGGAACCATGCTTCTCTATGCAATTCATTACAAGTGATACCATTTCAAATGAAATATTTGTGCTTTCCATATTACTCTTAAATCTCTCACTAGACATTCAGTATGTTAGTTTTCAGACAGAAGGTTTTATCTCATGTGCTTTTTAATAATTATATGTATCAAATATGTTTCTTACCTGCTATATGATGAAAACCTCTGAACCTTTAGTTAAGTTCGCATCTCTAGAAACAGACCATCAATTTCAATTTCTGAGTTCTAAAATATTAATTCTAAGTGATTTACTTTATCTGAATTTTCTTTAACTAACTTTCTACATGACAGAAACATCCAATGTTAAAACTCAAGTGAATTTTTATACTTTATTATCTTTTGTTTTGTTTAAGGAATCCGACTCAGATGTTGGAGCGGTCTTTGTAGGATGATACCTATTCTGTCTTCCTCCATCCCGGTTAATCAACCGTTTGTGTTGTATTAAAAAAGGCAAATGGTTTGCAAAGTCGTTTGGTAAATCATAAAATAAAAAAAAAACCACCATTACGAATTGATCCCAAACCCACGCCTTTATCTCGCCTATTCAGAAACATGCTCATATTAAGCAGGGAGTTCAGCCCGCCTGCCACGTAGACGCGGGGTCGGCTGTGCACAAAAAGCAGAGGGAGACAAACTCCGCGCACCATAGGCAGAAGAAGAAAAGAGGGGAAAGATCCGACTGTAAACTTTTTTTTTTTAATAGGGCGTTACAGAACCGTAGGCGCAAAGTCGCAGACAACGGGGAGCCCCATCAAGGGCATCCATCCCGCAAACCCTCCCAGCCAGATCAGTGCGCCTTCTTCCTTTTTTCCCGTCCGTCATGCAGGCATGCCGAGATGACTTGCTGGTTAGTTGGTGGCGGCAGATAGGTGGCTCTCTCTCCTCCGCAGACTTACCGAGCCTCTGTATTTGTCCAGGGAGACTAGTTTACCCCTGATGTTGACCACTTTAAACGAGTAAAAATTGTCCTCTTTCTGTTCCGAGGCGGAAAAGGCCAAGAACAGCAGGGCTCCTACGACGATCAGCATGGCTAGAGGGAGAAGAAAAAATTTTGGGAAGGAAGAACTAATTTTGGGCTCCGCGGTATCCTCGGGATCTAACATACCACACAGCTTTCAATTGACGTCCTCCCTACCGCAAAGCATTGCGGGAAGGAAGCTACGGCTGGAATGAAGGAACGAAGGAATAAATAAAGGAAATTTTTCTATAAAGGTAACGGATTCAATCTTCTCGAACAAGAAGTTCGCCTGTCAAGGACCTGGACGTTGTAAAGGAAAAAAAAATCCAAAATTCCTCGCAAAGCATTTCTTTCACAATATTAGTTGAAAATGCATGAAATGCTGTACAAGCAATTGAGTTTTCAGCACTCGTTATTGAGCAAAAGTGTCGAACAAAGATGGGAGAGGTCCTTAGAAACTTTGTTTTACGATTTTCAGCTAAATTGATACAGGGCATGATCAGCCAAACCATGGTTTATCATCCTGAGACAGTAGTCCTATACTTTCAAACACTAGGTGCCTGTCTTATATAACATTATATCCAGTTCACTTTAACCATCAAGGATTGATGCTAATTAATAAGAAATAAAATAAATGGAATATCTCTGCTACTTCATTGATTCATACATTCACATAAATCTGCAGGTTCAGAATAGGCTTAACAAAAGCAAAAACATTTACCTATTTTTAGAAAAGTTCCATTGCAATGTATTGGACATAAATTAATACATGCCTATTGAGTGTATGTCTAACTTTAAATCCAGCCAAACAAAACTGTACAGTATTGCACAATGCAATATTACTATTTTTGTTATTCTTTGTTTCTTCCTGCATTTCCATGGAAATGTATGTCTCTGGTTTTTGTTCCGCTTTTGCTATGTGCTTTAGTCAAAAGGATTAGAGAAATGCCCCAGACTTTTCTCTCACTAATTTAAATGCAAATAAAAGTCATACTATATTATGAAATACTTTCTTTTGATCAATATAAAGAACTCATTCAAATTTCAGTAAGATTCTCAGTTCAGAGATTATCTAACCAATTCTCCGCCAACATGATGAGGTGCATATTTACATGATGTTCAGAGTCAACTAGTGTCGTAATGATCAACAGCAGTTCTCTAGATTCTGCCTGAGATTTACATCGGAAGACAAGCTTTCATTTATCTTTAGGATGAAAGTCTAATACCAGTAGTAGCCAGTGGGATGAAGTGCAGCAGTTGTAAAGTTTTTCAGATTCAGTTACTGTGACAACCTGAAAGGAAATAGTGGATGGGCAAATATTTATCTGGTTTCTCTTCCATTTTTCTCCTGCATATTTTCTTCCTGTTTTTCTGTTTCTTTCACATCAAGTTTGTATTTTAAACAAAAAAGGAAGATAAGTCCTTAAAATCCAGCTACTGTAAAGATCAGTAGTATTATGTTAAATGATCACCAATCTATTTAATATGGTTTTATCTATATTTCTTTTAAGAAATGGGTGAAGTATAAATACTTCTTTCCATCTTTTTCTATATAACAATATTGCAGAGTAGATGAGGCTGGAAGTGTAATTGACTACAATATCCAGTGGTGATTTCAATATGTATTTTTAATTATTTAATTTATATAGCTGCCCAATTAATGTGCAACTTGGGACCCTGTATAGAAGTAAAAATAGCAAACAATGATGAAACATTAAAATATAATAAAACAGATTGCACCAAGAGACAACATCAAACAACTAAAAATAATCAAAATCAATGAAAAGACTGACAAATCAAAGTTCAGACAAATCAGCAATCAACAGGCATATGGAGATAAACATCTACATACCATTCAAAAGAGACAATAAAAAAACAAAAAAGGAAACAAAAAGACCACAACACCTCCTCATTAACAATCAACGCCTAGATGAGCAGACACTAACACCAAGATTAACACTGAACCAGTAATCAAGTAAATAATACCACCCACCCAATCAAGGAACTATCAACTCAGACAAACAAGCTAACAATAAACAACAGCCAAAAAGAACCACCAATAATGTTTCATCAATATTGGCAGGGCAAGCCAGTAGTATATAAAAACAGAGCAAGCCCCAATCCCTTCTAACACTGATGACTTTATCTAATTTGCAGTTGTTTCTTCTGCAAGAAAACAACCAAGCTCAAGGGGCACCAAGGACTCTATAATCAAAATTGCCATAAAACCTCTTGATCCCATGCTTGGGGGAAAAATCCGATCTTCAGAGCCTTCCAAAAAGTAGGCAGGTTTGAAGCCATCCAAATCTTGGGGACAATACTGTTCCACAAGGACAACTGTTGCAAAAGAAAAACTGGCTGCAGGATCGAACAGATCACACTGCTTAAATGATAGGACAGAGCATACTCAACCAGTCAGTTCATATTAAGTTTGTCAGAAATAATCAGAGATAGGAAATCTCAAATGTAATCAGGCCCTGTACCAGGAAAGGTAACAACCAGTATCTAGGTGACAATCAGTATCTTGAATTGTACTTGGAAGCTTATTGGCAAGGAGTATGCTCATGAAGCTGCAACTACATGGGCATCCGTAACTATTCACATTGCTACCCTTTGGACTACTAGTGGAACTTTCTAGTAGTCTTTTAAGAGCAGCCCTATATAAAAAAAACACATTGTAATACATTAATCCAGACAAGAGGTATGTCTTCTTTAGGACATTATTTCTGTTTCTTTTTACATTTGGTATCTCCCTAGTTAAAATGTGGCATTTAAAGGGGAGAGGTTTGTTCATAATTGTGCAATTAGCTAAAATTAAAATGACCTGCTGGTAAACTACCTCCCTTACTTTAGAGGAAAGTGGGATTATGATTGAAAATGGCAAATCCAGTGAATCTGGCAAATACAAACACTATTTCGCTTCTTCCATAATGAGCCATTATGTGTGCCCATGTAGTTGCAGCTTCATGAGCGTACTCCTTGCCAATAAGCTTCCAAGTACAATTCAAGATACTGATTGTCACCTGGATACTGGTTGTTACCTTTCCTGGTACAGGGCCTGATTACATTTGAGATTTCCTATCTCTGATTATGAATGCAGAATTGCAAGCTAACTCTGCCCACAGACAGGAATTCAATCCTGACCAGCTCAAGATTCTCTCACCCTTCATCCCTCTGAGCTTGGTAAAATGAGGCCCCAGATAGTTAGGGGCAATAAACTGGCATTTGTAAATAAGTCTAGGTGTTATTACTAGCACTATAAATGAAAAGACAGCTGTTTTCTATCTTGTTGGAAACCAACAAAGATGGTAAAGAGGATACAATGAAAAGAACAGTGGAAATAAAGTGCTAATGGTGGTGGCAGATGCTAGTGAACAGAGGGAGCAGGCTTGCTTCTTCCTGACAATCCCAAGGCACATTTCTGATCACACTTACTGCTGGTCACCTGACTGCATTAGGTCATTAGGGGACAGTAAACCCCAGCATGCAGAAGTGTTAGTGGATGGTACGAATACAAATATTATGGCAAGAAATGTTAGTCTGGAGTCAAGTAGTGCTAAAGTTGATAAATGATATGTTGAAGGTTATCATCATACTGAAGGTCTCTACCTTAGTTTGAATGATCATGTTGATTACTGATGCATACAATCAAGCCAAAACCAACACTTCTATATTGCTTCTTGGAAGTTGAATTCCTTGGAATTTACAGTAATCAAAATAGAGTTAATCCATTTCAGATACTTGAAACATACTGCCATTTGGATATGCTGTAGCTACAATATCATCCACATTTGTGTTTAAAGTATCTAAAAGTCCCTCACATTCTGACCTGACAGAATCACCATATGTTGCCTCTCTTTTCATGGGTTTATTCTGACATCAGACCAAGACTGACCTGAACTGCTACTGAACTCTCTTCTCCATTTCTAGTGCAATACTATAATATCATTATTCTGACATGCACTCTATACAAATCTATTATGTATTTCACATCTGCATATTTTTTTTAAAAAAGTTCTTCATCCAGCATTACATTTATGAATGTTGGAAAAATAACTGTCCCCTTTCATGCATATTTTAATGAATCTGCTTATATGATTGTTTTGTACCAATTTGAATTATTTCAGGCATTATTTTATTATGTAATTTATGGGTGTATTTTTATTTTAAACTCCTTAAGGTGCTTTAATACATGAAGCAATATATAAGAAAAATCTTGGAGTATGTACTGTATTCGTTGTTGCACCGTACTTGTTATATCTCACTTAACCAATAATGGGCAAGGAGAGTAATCTTCACGGGAGATATGTTTATGTTAACGATTATGGGAAATGTATTCCAGTAGTTTCTTGGCTACATGTTTCTAAAACAGTAGGTAGATAATGGTGCTTTCTTTTTACAAAGCAACAACAACCACAAGGCATTGATTCCAGCTTTTATTATATCGACATTTTCCTTCGCCCTTTCCGTGGCGCTAGAAGTGGCCACGAAGGCAAATAAACCAGGAGAGCAAATTAAACTGTGGGCCGACGTGATAGCCGCGGACGCCCTCGCGCAGAGGGGCGAAATAGAAGCGGACGCTCCGGCTAGTAGGAGCTCCTAGCTCGGGGGGGGGGGGGGGTGTTCCTCTTGTTTTGAAGGCCTCCCGGGTTGGAAAGACAATTTCACCCCTTGAGGGAGGAGGAGTCTCCCCTTTTGTAGTTTGGGGAGCCGCCTAACTGTCTCGGCCCCGAGGTAGCCCGGCAGAAGGGAGCCACCGCCGCTTCCCCTTCCTTCTCTCTCTCTCTCTCTCTTTCTCACTCAGTCCGGTGTTCCCGTCCTTTCCCCTCCCCCACAATGCAGTGCGCGCCGCGGCTGACATGGCGGCCGGCCCAGATTGAGGCGCTTGCGTCTGGGCCTCCAACTGCCGGAGCAAGACATGGAGTGGGACGCGGCTGGGACATCCCTGGGGTGACAGCCAGGTATTTGCGTCCCGGTGGGGGAGAAAGGGAGTCCGGACGATCAGACCGCTTTTGCCAAACGCTCCTGCATGGGTTGGCCCCGGCTGGGCTCTTCCCCTTCTTGGGGGTTGGAAGTAATTTTCGGAGGAGGGGTGGGGTGGGGGGAGAGAGAGGAAGGTACGCCGACGCTTTTTCGCCCCCCCTCCTTTAAAGTTGTCTCTGTTCAGAGACAACAGAGCCTCGCTCTCCTATTTCCTCATAGGTCCTCGCAACTAAGCTCTTTGGGACCTCACTTTCGTTTCCCTGCTTTTGTTTCTAGGGGC